TGGTAAAATCAAGGACTATTATTTTTGTAATAGAAGAAGAACAAAATTATGCAATTTTTGTACGAGTAAATATTATAAAAATATACCTATCTGTCATAGTGAATAGTTTTATCTAGGTATCAGTAAAGTATATGAAATATATAATTACTGTAAAATAATAAAAAGAGATTATTTGATTCTTAGAAAAATATCTATAGAGAATTTAAAGTGATTTAGAATTATTACTCTAAGAAGATATAATACATGTTAATTATCAGTATCAAAAAATAAAAGTAAAATTTTAATACGAATGATTGATTGTTCTATTTTAACGTATTGATTAGGTATTACATGGTTATAAATTTATCTTCATAATCATAAACACTAAAACAAATGCAAACATATACAGATGATAATTTTAAAATTGTGTCATAATTAAAATATAATTGATGCATACTTAAATTATGTAATGAAATTAATAGTTTTAAAATACTCTTTTTTTGATAATAAATTTTAATAGACTTTGTGAAAAAATAGAATCGATGTATCAAATAAAACTTTTTATTATTCTTTTTTGCAAATTTTGAATCCGTCATGATCTTATTATAGAAATATATATGTAAGAATACTTCTCAACAAGAAACATTGCAAATTGGTTTTTTTTGTATTTTCACTCAAAGTCCTTTGTTAATTGGATAAACCGTTTAATAATTGTATGGATAGATAGATGGCAGGGATGACAATAATAATTTTTAAAGTAATTAATGATGTTGGATGAGTGTGAAAAACAGAAAAACACGATGAAATTTCAAAGATTGTAACATAAATAATTGGTATGTATTTGAAATTTTTTGGGTCACTAATATCTGATTTACTACGAAATAATATATTATATGGGTTTCATTTAAATTCTGTGAGCTGTACCAAAATTATAGTTGTTTTCTTTCACAATTTTCTCAGAAATTACTAAGAAATTTCAAAAATGACCTGTCTAAGATACCATCTGTGTTCTATTTTCAATCGATAGAGAGAGGTCATATGAAACTTTCGGGACATACTCCCTCAACTTATAGACGTTCGAACGTAATACGTTTGTAAGCGCCACCTATACGATTGAAGTAGAAACGAATTAAAACCATAGAATGAATGTAATATTAATTCCATACACGAGCGAACTGTTGATCAAATCGTCGGGTGTTATATATTGGTTAAATATACATATTTAATCAATGTTTATACGATATTCTAACGTGAATTTCATAGGAATCAACGTAAGTAGTATTTATAAAAAGGTTGACGGAAAGAGACTGCGCGTACATCGTCAACGATGTTATCGTCACAGAAATATTAAATTATACGCGCGTAGCGAGCGATCGGATCGAAAGTTGCAGACAACGTAGGAAAAACAAAATTCCACAGATCGCTACGGTTACGGTGTTGACGATGGGGAGGATATTATAGATACGGCAAGGGAAGAAGCTGCGGCGGCAACGATGTGGAATACGAGGAAACGCGCTAAAGGGGGGGGGATTGTTCGATGCAGGTCGTGCGGGCCTGCCGCCACACTCTCGTCCCGACCCGACGCACGGCGACCCACTATCGTCTCAACCCACCCGCGCACACTCACACGCATGCACGCTCACACGGACCCACGCGTACACATACGTTCACCTTTTTCGAAGGGTATAGAGGATGAACACGGTCAGGGAGAGAGGAAATCGCGGACCGGAATTCAGGGGGTTCGTACTCCAACTGATCGATACGGTGGTGACGACGGTGGCGGGAGGCGCTAACGTTCCCGTGTGTACCGCACACGCACACGCCGTCACGGCGAACGTACTACTAGTAGTGGTAGTTACAGTAAAAGTAGTAATAGTAGTAGTAGTAGTAGTAGTAGTAGTAATAATAGTAGTAGTAGTAGTAGTAGTAGTAGTAGTAGTAGTAGTAGTATTAGTAGTAGTATTAGTAGTAGTAGTAGTAGTAGTAGTAGTAGTAGTAGTAGTAGTAGTATTAGTAGTAGTAGTAGTATAGTAACTGCTTGACAATGTCTGTGCGTGCGAAAATGCGCGCGCACACGCGGGAGCTAAGGGTCACGACGGTGGACTACCCCGTCCCGCTTGCCGACTGTACGACATACAACCGCGGGTGTAGAGGTGGCGCGCGGTTGCGCATTCCACCCTGCTACCGTCACCAGACCGTTCCGTGTGATTAATGCCTCTTAGCCATAATAACAATAATAATAATAATTGCTCTCGTAACCATCTCGCCCGTTCATTCGTTAACACCGCCGCTCCGGAGTTCGCTTTAGTGTATTATTGGTTTATTTTTTCCATTTCTTTCCGTTCACAGATCATCCGTGGACATCACCTGCTTCCACATAGCTCCGTCATCCTTCCCCAACTCTCGATATCCGCAATATTATTGAAGTTATATATATTCGCACGTATTGACCTACAAACTTTTTCCTTCCTTTTCGCTTACTGTTTCTACAATCTTAACAAACTTTCACGACCATGGTATAACCTTAAAAAATAGTTCGTGTTTCGTGGAATACCACTACAATTCCAGTCGGTCTATGATACACTCGTATTTCGTCATAAAACTGAACTAACTTTTTTCAAATAATAAAGAAGAATTTTCTGAATATTTGCATATATATTGTAAGACAATTATGGTTGTTTTGAGAATACATCAGGTAAACACACTTAGGAAATAGTTGATCTACTTGATAAAGTAGATATATAGATTGATAAAGTATCATCTACGTGAAACTTGCCAATAAGTGGCTGTTTATTTGATTATTCATCCATAGGTACGTGTTTACTATTATTGGCTGCATCACGATTGCGTAATTTTTCCTTTTTTGACCCGATTAATTACACCACGATTGCACAAAAAATTTATAACATGATTGCACCCCGACCCCTTTTTACTTGATAAAATCACAATACCATTGCGCACCAAATAATAATATGTGTATATACTATATATAATAATTTATATGTAGTATAAAATAATGTATACAGTACATACTTTCTACATATTATTTTCATATACATGCGCTCAAACTTATTACCTATTAATTCACAATTTTTCTTCCCAATTATTACAGGCTTAGGACTGTTAACAAATTATCATTGTTGGCTTGATAAAAAATTGTTTTTTTCTAAATTACATATATGCTAAATGTATATACTATCATGGTCAATAATCGAAACATTTTTTATTAAAAATTTTTTTTTTTCTTAACTGATAGTCATTAGTCGATATTATTATTATAACTATCATAAGCTCAATCAACTTTTCATTTCGATTTGAAAAAGTGCATTTTGTGAATTAATAGTTTTAGTGCATGTATATGCAAATAATAAAAAGTATGTATTGTATACATTATTTTATGTTGTACATAAATTATTATACATAGTATATACTTACACATAATTTGGTGTGCAATGGTGTTGCACCGCTATTATTTTAGTTATATGCTACCGAAATGTTTGCGTTAGTCGTTGTATTGAAGTCAACTAGGGTTGTATTAATTAATTAATTTACCATTAGTGTTTTATCGATAAATCGACCATGATTAACTAACACCCGAATAAGTCCAAAAAAGTTTCTCGTTGAGATTATAATAATTTACCAGTGTGTTTTTAGTGAACATCCATGTTTTGCCAATAGACCATTTTCAAGCGCAATTAAATCAATAGAAAATAGTGACCACGTGAATGACTAAACGACTTATTTATGTCATTTTTTCACCATTTTTTCATAATCATACCAACAATATACTCCAACTCGCTATCACCGAATTTTCAAAAGCCAAGTGAATCTTAGCTTTCTCGCCATTAAAATTCACTATGTTGTATTCATAGGTTATGGTGCATTAAACTTTTTACTATTCGAGATATTCGTTAATTATGCTTCTAAAAAAGTGTATTATATAATACAGTGGCAAATGTAATATTCGGCAGGCATGTAAACTCCGCCAGAAAAATAAAACAAGTAAAATTGGGTTCATGTAAACACCGCCACAAAAAAAAAAAATCAGGTAAAATTGAGTACATGTAAACTTTACCGGTGAAGAAAATCGAGTAGTAGTATAAAATTAATATAATATATTATTAAACAAAAATTATAATATTATATAATATCATATTGTCCACATTAAATATTTTAATCACAGTAAAAAAAAATCATTGCAATAGATGACAACGTATTTAATGTGAGAAGGCACGTGGCAATGTGAGCACTAAATAGGTAAACAAAAAAAAACTAGAGGAGTTTACACTAGACCTTTTATTACCTTTTTATCTTAATTGGTATTCTGGCAGAGTGTACAATCGCCCAATGTTCGAAACTATAAACTACCTGATTATAAGATTAGACTTATTATAAGCGTATAATTTTGGTTTAGTTGGTTTCCTGACGGTTAGGTTTATGATTTTTTATTATTCCTTTGATATTTTATACATTTTTATGTATATATATTATTTTAGAATTGCTAGTTTTTTTTTTGTTTGCTAGTATAAACTATTAATATTATTCAAGTTTCATACAGTACCTCTATCGATTGGACACAGATGTTACTTAGGGTTTTTCAGAGCAACTAAATGAGGAAAAAAGGTTGGACATCACTGGTATATAATAGTACGTACTCGTATATTAGTACGTCAGGATATTGAAGTGCTCTCGAATGACTTTAAACTTAACTAACTAGACTAGTTTTTCCATCTAATAATATTCACTATACCAAAGTAAAATGTTGCTTATACATAACAATTCGTCGATTTACTGTTACTTTGGTGCTTGAATTTTATAAGTAAATTGTAATACAACACGCATTAATTGTGGCCGGATCATATTAACAAGTATCACGTACGTGATATGTATAACCTACAAATATACACCCACCATCACTGAATAATCACGGTCTAGTGAATCACCAGACATACCCTCGACTACCTTTAAATCCACCCAGTTATATACATATACTTATGACGTACGCTTGTGTTTTGTTTTAGAGTGAAAAATTGGGCACTGAAATTTGGCGTGGACCTGTGGGAGTTTGGCAGACAAATCACTAATATGAATGAAATACAAAGAGTAAGTTGCTGTATAATACAACTGTAGAACTTTGTACTTTAAACATTCTTCTGTTAAGTATGTTTTATACGTTTCTATTGATAGGTTATCATTGGGATGTATTTATTGAATTGTTGGAATCAGTTTTAATAAAAATTAAGTTAAATGTATTTATGTTTGATATTGGAGATTATGTTAAATACACTAAGTCAAGTTACTGAAGTAGGAGAAAAAATTAAAATAACATTTTACGTGGTAGTTATAAAACGAATTAATAGTTAAAATAAAAACATGTAAAAATCACTCAATTTTGATGTAAAAACATTAGTCGATGAGTTTTAAAAGAACGTGATTTATAAGTATTTCAGAGGTATTACGAGGTCCCTTTCTCCAGCACCCCCACTTTCAAACTTCGGGTTCGATCCAGTCCCAACCGTTTGTACCTCGTTTGTACCTGATTGTACCTCTAGTCCCTTCGTTTGTACCTCAACAGATTCTAAGTTGTAAATGTTTTAATTGTGGGGGTGCTGGGGAAATGCCTGCACCCCCACTTTCGAATTTCGGGTCCGATCCGGTCCCAATCGTTTGTATCTCGTTTGTACCTGATTGTACCTCTAACCCTTTCGTTTGTACCTCAACAGTTTTTAAGTTATCCATGTTTTACTTGGGAGGATACAAGTAAATCACACTTTTACTCTAGAAAATAAAAAACATTGTGTGTAAAGTTTAATTTTGTCTATGATACATACATTAACTTATTTTAAGTTATCCCTGTTTACTATCATGTACATTTTCAACATTTCTTAAGTTCGTGTGGTTAAAATTTTTAAAATTTTGCGGAATTTTACATTTTCCGCATCAGATGTATTTCCATGACTAGTATAAGATTAGGCATACATCATATTCAAATTTACAATATATTTTTAATAAAAATGAATTAAAATACAAACGGTTGAATATAAATATATGTGTATGTAAATTGTGACGAAAGTTATATTAATCAACTTCACTTTAATTCTGTTTTAATAAATTATATACGTAATTTTTTTTGAATTCACTATTTAAGATATATATTTATTTTATTTCTTAATAAAAAATAATAAATGTCGTATTAAAATTTATCCAATGGTATTTATTTGTTATTAGAACTCCAATATTGAAATATTTTATCATATATTTTTTATAATAAATAGTTTTGCCTAAATTTTTTTTTATTATTTATACTTTTATTATAAATTTATATTTACATAAATTATTGCCGGCAATTACACGTTTTGGTCTGACACAACATTTTTAAAGCATTAAAAACAATGTTTACAATTAGATATTTAGAAATGTGTTACAGTTTTCCTTGATTTGTGAACATTTTGGTTTTTGGCAATATCACCTTTTGCATTTCTCCCCTTCAATTATTGTATAACAATGTTATAAAGATAAACCCCAGTAAAATTGATATAATATTATATATGTTTAACATTATTTTTTATATATAAAGAAAATGTATAAATAAAAATGCAAATAAGTATCTGTTAAACTACACCTGTGGCCAGGCGCGTACACAAGGGGGGTTTTAGGGATTCAAATCCCTCCTAAAATTCAGGAAAATAATTAAATTTGTTTTTATATAATAAAATTTATAAATATAATTATTATATAAATTTATAAATACATAATAAATATATTTATAAAAATGTACAACCTAAAACCCCTCCTAAAAAATTTATTTATTTCACTCAATTGTGCTACGTTAGTGCCGTTTGTTCTACTTGGTCCCGCGTTTGTGCTGACTTTTTAACCCTGTGAAATCAAATTTTAAGTTTAGCCGGGCTGAAGAAGTATTAGCCTCGCCATATTGGAATTTCGAAAAAAAAAAGAAAAAAAAGTTGATTCTTGATACACAAATCAAATTAGTTTAGTAAGAATCAATAAAAAATGTAGTTACTCAATTAAATGAATAGCAAACCTAATTATATGTTAGTATAGTGTTAATAACTATTATTATTATTATTATTATTGTATTATTTCTCTATTTTCATGTCCTGATATCAATTGCTTATTTGATATATTATAGTAATTTCTAATTAAATATAGCTTTTTATAGCTATATAATACAAAAAAAAAACTTAAACGCTTAATTAGTTAAATCATCTAATACTTGTTGGTGTCTATTTTATTTAATGATAGTGAATTATTATTATCCAACATAGTCAAGAAGAAAAGCTATCTGCATTAATAATTTTATGATTAAGAATAAAAGCTGATGTTACTACAGTATTAAGCTATGAAGATGTTATTCAAGAATTTGCTCAAGACCATATATGACAAATAATATAAGAGTATTTTTATAAATTTTTTGTTGAAGTATATTTTTATTATCTGCAAAAAATATTTACCATTAATGTATATTTCATGAGTGTGGAGTGCTAACTAAGCTTTGTAAGTAATATAGAATAATAATAGAAAAAAAAACATAATAGTAATTTAATACTAATTTTAGTGCTTCCATAAAAAAGTAATAGTAAATAAAAATAAAAATAATGATAATTTCTTTCATGTATTAATATTATAAGAAATATATAGAAAATGTATATATTATTATGCATTACATTTAAATAGTGTAAATAATCATTTCTGCATTAATAACTGTAGTGCCTTTACATTTTTGTGGGATATCGTTATAATCATCTCATAATTCTCATTTGTTTAATCCTTCTCGATAACAATATGGCATAAAATACTTAAAATCTAAAATACTTAAAATATGAAAAAAATAACTTAATTATTAATTATTATTACAATATTACGTAAATATATAATAAATATATGTATATTATATTATATATGTAGAAAAAGATATCAAGATGCTGAGAAGAAATATGACTGTTGACCTGGCATTGGACAGGGAAAGATGGAGAGAATTGCTTGTGGCAGCTCGGGTCCTATAGGGACCGTTAAGCTAAGGAAGAAGATATTATGTTATAACCTACTCATTATCAATTTTACACATTTCTAATAAAAAATTAATTCAAATGAATTCGGATAATTTAGTTAGGGTTGGGAAGTCAGCACAAACGCGGGACCAAGTAGAACAAACGGCACTAACGTAGCACAATCGAATGAAAAAAAAAAAAAAATTAAAAATTCCAATGTGGCGGGGCTGGGAAAATAGACATTATATTTAACGGAAAATTATTGAATTATGATAACATCAATAATAATCAAATTAAAAGCCAAAAATTATAGAGACTTTGTTAAGTATTTAATGGAATAATCTTTTCACAAATAAAATAATATTACCGGCGATCAGATGGTGTCGGATTATAATAAAATCGTGCCGTCGGTCCTTTTATTAAAATAATAATAATAATAAAATAAAAAACAATATATAAATAATAAAAAAGGTTTGACTTAAATATATTTAATGTGTTAATTTTAAATTGTTACAAAAAGATATTTCAGATCAAAGTCATAATCCGAACGGAAAATAATGTGTACCTAAATAACATTATAATAACATAAAAAAAGTTTATTTAGTAGAATAAAACGGGCCAAAGCCCAATAGTACATATAGTATAGTTTGAATACAAATACAATAAGATACAATATACAATAAATATCTGAAGGTATATAAAGATTACGAAAATCTAAAAAAGGAAAAATAGTATTAAAATTGAAAAATAGATAATTGATAAATAATAGTTAAATAGTCATAATAAATAGGCAAATTTAATAATTACACAAACTATAAGATAAAATATTTCAATAGAGTTCTAATAACAAATAAATACCATTGGATAAATTTTAATACGACATTTATTATTTTTTATTAAGAAATAAAATAAATATATATCTTAAATAGTGAATTCAAAAAAAATTACGTATATAATTTATTAAAACAGAATTAAAGTGAAGTTGATTAATATAACTTTCGTCACAATTTACATACACATATATTTATATTCAACCGTTTGTATTTTAATTCATTTTTATTAAAAATATATTGTAAATTTGAATATGATGTATGCCTAATCTTATACTAGTCATGGAAATACATCTGATGCGGAAAATGTAAAATTCCGCAAAATTTTAAAAATTTTAACCACACGAACTTAAGAAATGTTGAAAATGTACATGATAGTAAACAGGGATAACTTAAAATAAGTTAATGTATGTATCATAGACAAAATTAAACTTTACACACAATGTTTTTTTATTTTCTAGAGTAAAAGTGTGATTTACTTGTATCCTCCCAAGTAAAACATGGATAACTTAAAAACTGTTGAGGTACAAACGAAAGGGTTAGAGGTACAATCAGGTACAAACGAGATACAAACGATTGGGACCGGATCGGACCCGAAATTCGAAAGTGGGGGTGCTGGGGAAATGGACCTGGTATTACGTATGGATGATTACCTCATTATCAAATTCGTGCCATACATCATATTATACTATATTATCGTATTAATGTAAAGTTACCAATGAATATATTGTATATTTTTGTTTGAAAAAATAAATAAATATATCAGCAAGATTTATTGTAATGACTAGTAATATATTTCAAATTAAATTATAGTTAATAACTTACTGTATATTCAATATACATCATTATTATAATATTTATATCAATATTATAATTTTTTTTATACTAAACATATTATCAGTACATTTATTTTATTGTTTAATATTATTGTAACGTAATTTTTTATTGAGATAAATATTAAAATAATCCAACTGAAATATATCTAGATAAAAATATAAATTAACTTAATTCATATTTATTCAGGTAAAAATATACACTATTTTATTTTGATAAAATAAAGATTTTTAATGAATGCAAACCTGACATTATCATTTTTTTTTTTTTTTTTTTTTTTAATTTATAATTTACTTAAATAATAATGTGATTGCCTAACAGAACTATGTCAAATTTATAAAACTCAAACACAGATTATATTTATAATTCTTTTTTTTTTTTGGATTATTAAATTATTGTTTATTAATGAAACAATGAATAAATAATAGGAAAAATGAAGAACATAGTTTTTGAAATTACATTTTAAAATAAATATTGTTTTAATATATCAAATATCAATAAGAAATTTTGTCATATTTATAATTATAAATAGTTAAAATATAAATTAATTATTCACTGTGTGACATTTAATTTAAGATTATCCATATCTCATAAGTAAAATGTTATTAATAATTAATAAAATATTAATGCTTATTACTGCAAGCATCCATTCTTATAAGATTATATTTTTGATTTTTATTTATAAATAATAAACATTATATCATCAATTATAATTATTAGTATTTATCAATAATTATTTCTGCCGATGTGCAATGGGAAAAAAACATTATAATTATTTATACATTTGTTTAAATTATATTATTTATATTTTATTACTTATTTATCTAGATAAGATAAAATATGAATTAAAAATTATTTAGATAAATAATATACAAAGTGTAGTATGAACTTTATACTACACTTTATGCACTGAAATTATGATTCTTATTTTTAAAAATCCAAACACATACATGTTATGAAAATTTGTAAATAAGATATAACTTGCTTTTATGTCTACAAAGTTTTGTTTTTAATTTAACTTTTTTTCAGTTAAAGTAATACTTATGGGTATATATTATCATTAACCGAATGATTTACAATTAAAATATTAATTTAATTAGAAATACAATATTAATTTATAATAATAAAAAGGCCTTATTTAATTTTAATATTATAGAAATATCGAGAGAGAGAATCTAAAGTTCGAAGAAAAGATGGACTCTTACTTATTCGTGATTTAGCAGCTGAAGTTAAAAATATGATGGACATCAAAATGAATTCTGTTTTGGTAAGTAATTTCTATAATTTATTTATTCCGTATGCAACATAACATAATGGTTAGTTGATTCATTATATTAACAGAACAATAATTATAAGAACAAGTAGTAGTTATATTAAATTTTAAATTAAAATAATGCATTTCTTTTGTTTCGAATTGTAATTTACGCAATTATACAGACAAGCTAGTGCTTACAACCATAAATAAGCGCTCACATTATTTTGTTAACGTTAATGTAAGCATACTAAATCTCTTTAATTTCTATAACTCATATACACAATCAACTAATGTCATTGAAATCACACAACCTTCCCCCTCAGTGGTTTGTCGCCGTCGAGCATAATTATATTGTGCTTGTAACGACGTTTACTTTATATGATGGTAACGTATACTACGAGATTCCAATCTGATTAAAACATTATTACACATCTCAATATGGCGTCTATATTATATCAATAAACGTTAATTAACTTAGCGCGGAATGAGTGTAAGGTGGGGAGTAATTAGATCTTCATTGGGTGTGTTGGCAAAGGGTCTTAACAATAAGCTTTCTATTCCTCTCTCTCTCTCTCTCTCTCTCTCTCATTCTTTCTTTCTCGTTCTCTTTCTCTCACTCAATACCTCTCTTTTTCTTATTAACTCTCTGTTTCTCTCTTGCTTGCGTGGTGAGGGTTGTTGGAACCAATTGTTTTGTCAAATTGTTTTGGCACTGAGAGAGTAAGAGAGGGTAGAGTATAGTGAAAGTGTTGGAGGGAGAATGGGTTTAAGGGGTAAGAGAAAATAATATGGATGAGGAAGAGACACTTGCACACTCGCGCATATAAGCACAGGCACAGTGCAAAACTCGTCGAGGAATTTAATTAACAGGATTCGTGGCTGAAAAGGAGAACCACACCATTTTAACACCCCTAATGACTAAATCCTCCACACTTCTCATACCATCTGATGGATGATATTATAAAGCACTACGTGCAGACCTAAAATCTCTCGTTTCTTTGCCATTTAATTTGCATAAGTCGTAACCATCATCTAACCGTTATTATTTGTATGCTATGCTCATTTTATTAACTTAATATCCTGTCAAAACAATCTCCTAATAATAATAATTTCAATTAAAATTGAGTCTTCACCGAAGCGATCACATCGTTAATAACATTTAAACGGCTTATTTTCATCGTACTATAAATTTTAACAACATCAGCATTGTTTTTAGAAATTTTAATACATACATTCTATATTACTTTTAAAATATTTAAAATTAACTTCACGGTAAAAATTGTGTACATACTCGTAACTTTGAAGGCAACAATATTAAAATATAAATATATTTTCTAATTCAAAGTCTTGTTATTATGTACTATTATTAAAGAAGTTATAATCACAATTTTTTTTATATGATACATATTCACTATCTATCAGCTATCAGAATAAACAAAAGCCCACGTAACTAAAAAATTGATAGTAACATTAGGTAATCATCAAAGATATATTTATTAATTAATTATATATGAATCTGTTCATAATAAATATAATTCAGTATTAACGGGGATTTAAAATAAATAATCTTAACCGAAGTAAACACACTTCTAAAATATCAATGGTTACCTCTACGTATTATTTATGTATATTGTATATAATATAAAAAAATTAGTATCAAGTAATTTTTAGTTAAAACTTTTAAAATTAAATAATATAAATACTAATAATTAAATAAAATTAAAATTATTTTATCATACTTAATTAATTAAATTATATCTCATGTTTAAGATTATATGAATAAATATTATTTACAAAATTCTTAATTAATTAATGTAGGTATTTATTTTATACAATCATTTGAGAAATTTGAACTTTATGTGGAAAATAAAGTTGTATTTATATCAAAAAATAAAATTTATATTTTTATTATTATACGTAATAATTATTGTAATATAAAAATGAACTTATAGTTAATATTTACCGTAAAACTTAATTTTAATTATTATTTATTATTAAATATTGAAAAATTTCATTATTTATTAATATTTATAAATCAAATATATTCACTAATTCTCAAAATGGATTATTTTCTGAAGTCTGTAAAAGTGAATTTGTACTTTCAAATTTATTTTATACGCATTATTTTAAACGTTTCAATTGTCTATTTTATACTCTTACTTGGTCAACTCAGACATGATTTAATACTTTTAATCTATGTTAAAAAAGCAATCTTTTAAAAATTAAATTTTAACTTGGAAAATAACTGTCAACATAAATGATATTAAAATGTGAAAAAATCACACTAACTGTCGTAAATGTAAACGTGATCTGATTAAAACCTTCACAAAAACTTTTCTAGGCGGTGCCTGTCAGCATCATCCTCTAACGATAATAATAAATGTAAATATTTTTATTTAATTTAATACATCTCAAAAATGCATCAGTCAGTTGTGGTAGTTGTCGTTTTAAAATTACAAAAGCATATTTTAAAATAAATTTTTAATATAAGTAAGGTTTAGTACTTATAATAAAATTATAGTCGTTTAAATAAAATTTATCTCGAATAAGAATGTTTAATATTAATTGTATTTTTTTTTAAATATAGATCAATTTAAATTAAAAAGTATTAAATTATAACAAAATAAAATAAATGTAATATTATTCATACTATTTAATTAAATAGAAGACAAATTTATAAATGTGTGAAGTATTCTTCTGTTATCTGTATTACAAAATATATCCATAGGGTAAAAGATTAAACATAATATTAAACTTTTATTATTATAATATTCTAAAAACGAGTTATGAATGATTTAACTTCAATGAAATAAAGCTTGTAATTTTATTACAAATTAATCGAACAATATTTTATTTTTTTTATTAATGTTTATTTGTCTAATTTTAAAAAGTATAAATTGATATACACACACAATATTATAAACTACCTTCAATCGCAAGTATATTTAAATATTTTATAGTAAATTTGCATATTGTAATAGATCTGGATTTCCTATAACTTATACAGGTCAGTAGACAGAGATCAACGTACATTTTACTATACTAATATACCGATGTTGCCACACAAAGTTTTAAAAAATTACTCGACGACAACTTTCGACTATTGTTTTACAGGTTTTTTCGATTTATTCCTGTCTCAAAAGTTTTGATCCTATTTACCAACTTTTTTCATTCTCCAGACCTTACTTTTTTTTTATTTAAAATATACATACGCACCACAAAAATAGGATATTGTGCGTCCGATTTCGTAAAATTTAAACTTCAGGAAAATAGTTAAAAGTTAAAGAATTTGATAGCAAAATACCAGTGAATAAATAATTATATTTTAATCTTATAATTAGACTCTAATAAAACTAACCTTTAGTGATAATAACAAATATATTATATTTTTTAATATATGTATATTTTAAATATTTTTTTAGAGATTAATGGAAGCTGGTGAACAATCTAATCTAGCTCACCAAGATACATCTGTGAAGAGTGAACGTTATGTAAATGATGGTTTTGGAGATTATAAAAGTTTAGAATCAATAGACCGATATGATCAATGTGCATTTAATACTACTGTAAATTGTGTACTGCTACAGAGTACATATGTAGATCCAGGTAACGTTTCATTAAAGCTAATAAAACGTGTTCGGATTCGTATTATGGATAAAAATAATACACATCATACATTAATATTTATGACTACTTAATATTAAAAAATTGAAATACAGTCAATTCCAATTAAGACAGGTCTTTATTTAAAATTAAATATTTATTTTGTCCGTATAATTCCATGTAAAACTATTTACACAGAACAAATAAATAATGTATTTAATTTATGAAAATGTAAAATTTTTAATTTATTTGTTTTATATTTTAAATTTCTATTTAGATTCAGTGGACGAAACAGTGTTACGAGATATGCAATGGACAGACAATTTGGATCCAATATTTGTTAGCAATTACGAAATGGATCCTGTACTTTCGTGGCAATATTTTGGTAGCACAAAAGGAACACTAAGAAGATTCCCAAGTAAGTGTGTTACGGCGTCCTAAGTAGGCAATTTAGCTACGTTTGTGTCCATAATTCTGAATTAAGTTTACATAATTCATGAATCACATTTGCACGTTGACAAGTATATTTTTATATTTAATTAAAAATTAACAAATTATATTTTAGACGACTGCAATACATTTAAATTAAAATAAAATCACCTACAGAAATTAACTATAGTTTAATAACTTATTTGACTATATGAAAATTTTTATAATAGACATTTAAAATATTCTACTTCATAAAATTAAAATACTATGTTACTAAGCCAAACCCAAAAATATTACCATGGCATATAATAGTAAAAACACTTTTGTAAATCTATAGATTCAGAATAGAAAAAAATTCAGTTGACCGAGAAAATATTATAATTTGTTTGTCTTACAAGTTACAGCTTCTAGACCTACTACACAAATTTGATTTAACTGTTAATTTTAACATTCTTACAAAATATTTTATGTGACCAAATTGACTCTTATATTTTATTTCAAATATACTTTCAAAGATTCTAATAGATTTATATACAAAATAATCATTTATTTTATAATCCTTAACTTTCCATTTACTCAGAGAAACAAACCATGTATTGTTTGATGTAAATTAAATTATTTTTACTATCTTGTTTTATTATATATAATATTATATAATATCCTCTATTATATTATTGTGTACACCTATTGTATTCTCCATTGTTACTAAATATTTATAATTAATATATCTTAACTACACCTAGAGCTCAATTTTGTAATAGAAACAAAATATATAAGGAGTCATAATGACGAATTGAAAGTTAAAAAAATAAATATTGCACTTTAATATTTTTATAACTACTAAAAAAAATATCAAATTAATAAGAAGTTAGGACTCTGTTGGTAAAAATTAATATTTTTTTTCTCACTAGACATATATAAGAGCCAATATAATTTTTTAGTTTTCAAATTCATCATATGAAAATAAGCTTAAAATTACTAAAAACATTTAATTTTCGACAATTACTCAGAAATCTTTAAATTTACTTAGCCTAAACATAACCTTGTCTTTTATTTTAAATTATTGTACAAAATATTTTATAATTTATAACCAAATTAAAATTAAATTTCCAAAATAAATTACTCAAAAACTGTTAACTACTTTGTTATTATAGCTTTGAGATGGCCTTCGTATTCGGGATTATCGCCATCTGCTCTATTTGATTACCGACTAAATCCATGGTTTGTAGAGGCTGCAACTAGTGCCAAAGACCTAGTTATTATAGCTGATTTCTCCATCGCATTATCTGACTATAAGCTAAGTCTCGTAAGAGCTACTGCTTTGGCGGTCCTTGATACACTGGGAGCTAATGATTTTGTCAATGTCTTATCTCTTGAATCGTCAAATTATGAAATAGTACCATGTTTTAAGGATGTTATTGTGCAGGTAAATTATAATTATTAATTCCAAACCTTTAAATGATAATTTATTCTTTTGGATTCTAGGCCAATGAGAAGAACTTGAGAGATTTAAGATCAGCTGTGGCACAGTCAAAGTTTGCAGGCAGTTCTAACTTCACGGGAGCTCTATCTCGTGCATTCGACATACTACACAAAGTACCTTTGAATTAATTAATTTAGAACGCTATAACTTAGTATAGGGAGGAGTTAAATTGTTGAGGAATGTGAAAGGGTGGATATTTGTATTGTGTTAAATTCTATCCATGTTACCTACGAATATAATCTTAATAATATCTGTAATATTATAATTCAGTTTAATCGTACTGGTCAAGGAAGTCAATGTAATCAAGCTATATTGATAATTACCGATGGTCCATTTGGTCCGTACAAAGAAGTTTTACAACACAATAAACCACATATGCCGATTCGAGTTTTTACGTATTTAATAGGTAAAGATAACTCAAACGCGGCTGATATGAATTGGATTGCTTGCAATAATAAAGGTAAATTTTAAATTTCTTACATATTCATATTTTAATTTTTATAAAAAAATGTTTGTATTAAAAAATATATTATAATATCAAAAGGGTATGTAAGTTGTGACAACGAGTATTTATCAAATATTCATACAAAAATATTATATGAATTTCGATTTATATCTAAAATCTAAAATCTTTAATTTATTACAAAATTATTAAAACTTATTAAAATTATAGAATTACACATTGTATTTAAAAATACTTTATCGAGAAATTTTAAAACATTTTTTTTTATTAAATTCTTATTTTATTTTCGTAAATATACTTTTAAATATTACTGAATAACAATATTATAACTAAAGACACTAAATTAACCAAATTATTTGTTATTTAAATTTAAATTTTTAGCAAATTTGCGTTAGAGTCGTAATATGAATTAAATTCTATGTTGAATACATTTTTTTATCATTGCTTTCCTATTTAAATGACTTTTTATTTTCTAATAATTTCAGGATTTTTCGAACATATTGAAGATCAAAGAAATCTTCGAGAAAAAGTATTAAATTATATTTTAGTAATGGCCAGACCCTTAATTATGTATCAAACTGATCATCCTGTATATTGGTCTCCAGTATACCTTGCAAGCAAAGTACTACTTCTATCAATAAAAGCATTGAATAAATTATTTTATTTTCTATTAATTTTTTCCTTTTTTTAGGTTGATAATTTAAAATCTACTGACTCCATAGATGGTAGGCTCATGACTACAGTATCAGCACCCGTTTTTGACAGGAGAAACCATTCGGTAAATATACTGAGCACTTTAATATAATATTTTATAATACTATATTATACTTCACCTTGACAGGAACGAGTCGCCAATTTATTAGGTGTGGTCGGTATGGACGTTTATATTGACGACCTGAAAAAACTTGTACCGGCCTATAAGGTAAGGAAAACATTTTATTTTTTTATTTTAAAAAGATATGTTATAAAATAATATCAATATATCAATGTTTATATTATTTTTGTTTGTTTTCACAGCTCGGAGCCAATGGTTACTCCTTCATATTGGACAATAACGGACATGTCCTTTATCATCCAGACTTCCGTCCAACGGTAATGTAAAATATAAACTTATATTTATTTGACTATAAAAATTAATTATAATATTGTTTGGTAATAATATTATGCAGCAATCTGATTCGGTCAGACCTCAATATAAGACGGTCGACCTGAGTGAGATTGAGTTGCCGGACGCGGACACTAATAATAACACTCTATTACTGGAAGTAAGTACACATTTTTATAGAAAAAATAATAACTTATAAATTGAACATTTTTTGTTTTAGTTAAGGAGAGAAATGATTGAACAACATGAAGGTGAGACTACCTTAAAAGTCAAAACTCACTTGGATAATATGGTAACCAAATATAATATTTTTAAAAAATTAAATATAATAAAAGAAAATAAAACATATTTTTATCAATGAAAAATTTAAATTTGAAAATGATGAAACTGTTTTTTATCAAAATTATATGAAACGCAACATTAAAATAAAATAAGAAATTACGTAATATTTAAAATTAGTATAAAATATTTTTCGAACAAACTAGGAATAAAATTAATTGTTTACATTTTATTGTTTAGGAAAGTTTATAGGCTTCAAAAATGAAATACCTAGCTCAATATATTCAATATCAGATATGAATTATACTACAAACAGAAATTTTGTTTAATATTTCAATAGTTTAATAAATCACGAGAAACAGAAAAAATGTAAACAAAATAAAAATGTACGTATTCATTTTAACTTAAAAAGTTTAAATCATAATAGTAATCACTAAATTCCATGTATAAACTTTAAATGATCAAAATAAATCAAACGCCTAAGATAAAAATCGCTGATGGAATAAACAATTTTTTTTTAAAATATAGTTTTATTTTTCAATCTTTACAATACACAACTTTACTAAATAAGTCCATTTAAAAAAAAAAAAAAATAATAAGAATTCAACTTAATAAAAAGTTATTAAATAAACCCAAAATAATCTTTTAGTCAAAAAAAAAAAATGTTTTAGAAGTATTTAATTAATCGTTTTTAACTTTCAGAGACGAGTATCCACAAGAAAATATAAATATTTTTATCATCCCATCGAAGATACACCTTTTAGTTTAGGCATAGCTCTGCCCGAGAGTTATGGAATGTATGAACTTATTGGAGAAGAAGAAATCAAATTAACTCAATTCAACAGTAAGTGTCTGAATAAAGTGTAATCATTAGTTAATATTATTTTTTTTTTCCAGTAACAGAATATTTTAAAGGTAAAAATTGGAAAGTTCATCCAGATTGGTAAGTACATTAATACCTTATAATTATACTTATATAAGTGTAAATTGATCGTTAACACTAATATTTCTACAGGGTATATTGTGAATATAACTATGGAAATGAACATAACTTTAAGACTCCTGAGGATAGAGTGTTGCATTTTTTGTCTAGAACAAAACGTCCGGGTTGGAAATGGATGTCACTGAGGTCTAGAATGCCACAAAGAGAACCTGGTAGTTATTTAATAAATTAAAATACACGAAATATATATTAATTATCTTTCGTATTTGAAGGCACAAGTCAGGTTTATAACACGTGGAGAAAAGAAAAAGATTCTCATTATTGTAAGTGTTGTGTTGATTTTTAATAATTTTATTTATCAGTTCTTTGATGAGTTTTTTTTTATTTATAGGTGATAAAAATCTTTTACAGTCATTAGTATTTGATGCATTAGTAACAGATAGCCTCGAAAAACTAACGAGTCAAATATCTAAGGCGGACAAACAGTAAGTGAATTACAAATTTATCACATTTTATACATAATCTAAAATTATATAAACATAGTTTTTTATCAACTTCAGTGTTTATGATTCTACTATTGTATTTGTTTAATTTTATTTTATTCCCCAAAAGCTTGAAAAATTTTTAATGTAAAAAAAATATCCAAACTTTTATTTTCAGTAAATCTACAAACGCGTTACTCAAAATGCAAAATTTAAAAAATAGGTAAAATGAGAAAAAAATTCTGATTATTATTGTGTAATACACATTATAGCGCACATATAAATCACCAAATTTAATTATATTATTGGATTATTATACTTATTATTCTCACAACTTTTATAACACATTTGCACCAGTTATTATTATAAGCATGATTATTTTAATTTATAAAAATTTTAAAACATAAAATAAAATATCTGAACTTAAAATTAATCAAAATATTAATTATTTATTTTTTAGACAATATTTAACTGAATTTTATGCATTTATTATGCTGAGTGATTTTTTTTTATTACAAATACATGTATTTGTATAAAAAAAATTATACTTTTAAATTAAAGTACAAATTCATAATAAAAATATGAAGCATAAAAAATAACTAAGTATTAGAGTTATTTAAATTTACTGTTGTGTAACTAAGAATATTTAAATAAAAATCACTCAAATTTATGACACATTACATAACAGATATTATAATCCATATTAAGAATGAGTACTTATATACCTGTGAATTTTACTCAAAAATTATAAACAAACCATTAGATCTTAGATATTTTATTTTATCCATGAATGTTAGTAAGAAATAATTGTTATAAGTCGATAAATCACGGTAAGTTAGAGTAATTATTGTTTTTGTATAAATTAATTTAAATTTATTGTATACTTGCACCTAATAATATAACAAATGCACTAACCTTGTCTACATTTTAAAGCCCAATAGCCACACTAATGGCACTTCTGCACAGGTAAAGTAGATAATACACGTGGTACATTCAAACGTACTATTTGCACTGAACTATAGATCGCTAATTTTATATATTATTAGCTCAGTGTGACAGTACCTAACATAATTTAGGATTGTTAGTTTAAAAAATATGGACTTCAATTAAATTTGAATTACATATTTTTTACTTATGATTAAGATAATATACCTCCACAAAAAAAAAACATTTTGAATCATTTTGCAGCGGATTTGGTAAGAGGTCTTATTCCCATAGTAAATTAAGGTACTAACATCTGAAGAAGTAACTATAAAAATTAAATTTATAATTACATAACAGTATGATGTGGATATTTTTCAAACTTACGTCAACATGTGACATAATTAAAATATCAATTCGAAATTGTATGGTTTTTATTTATAATAAACTTTATTGTGTGACTTCTTCAGAATAGTTTCTATTATAATATAAATGTTAAAATGTTTAAAATTATGCTATTTCATTCTGAATTAATTTGTTTGTGTCTTAAACTATGTTTGCACGCACTCGTAGCCAAGGACATCATATGTTTGGTGTCACACTTACCTTCATAGCGACAAGGAGTGGATTGTTGAGATGGCGGGATCACGGAACAGCTAACAATAGAGGGCCTGAACCGTAAGCCCATTGATTTAAACCGGTCATATTATTTATAATACTATTAATATTGTACTCACGATATTCTAGACATTTTAGCGAAACAAATAAAAAAGCCATAGACGAGGTGTGGTACAAAAGAGCGATTGATCAACACAACATAGAACCTGAGAGTTTCGTGTTTTCAGTACCATTTAATTCTGGTTACATTTCATCATTTATTTTCGTAGTACCTAAGAGAAAAACATTTCTATTGTAATTTTTAGATTTTCTAAACACATATTTCCAACGGATGAGTATTTAAAGCATGTGATTTTGATAAATTTAAATATATTCACTATTACGCATATTATCAATAAGAGAGTTAATAATACTCTAATCTTTATTTTTTTTATTTCGATCGGATTCTGAATAGAAAATACGTACAATGTAAATTATGATCTGAAAATTACAATGGAATTTAACGTTGACTCGGAAAGGTAAAAAAAAAATTAACTAAGATCTCATAACTATTTTTCAGGTGCTGGACTCGACCGGCCACTGATTACAGCCACACACGCCATGTTCGTAGAAAACAAAGGTCATCGTGCAGCAGCCGCAGTCGTCGGCATACAATTCCAACATTCGTCGATCGCTTCGCATTTCATCAATATCACTTCGGCCGTACGTATTACTGATTAACTAAACACGTATTTATTCAATAGTGGAAAAACTTTTTTCCTTATTGGTTCTCAATAGTGTACTGGTATGACCGGATGCAAAAAAACCTGTGCTTCCGACGATCTCGATTGTTACGTGTTGGATAATAACGGTTTCATTATCATATCCGAACAGTCCCATCACACCGGTCAATTTTTCGGACAGACCGATGGCACGATTATGGATTCATTGGTTCAAGACGGTATTTATAAGAAAATCACCGTAATGGACAACCAAGGCGCGTGTCATAGCGGAATCGAACCCGGGACTGATTCTGCGTCTGCGCTTCGTGTAATTATAGTTTATTCAATTAAAAATAATATCGTCAAATAATAAACAAATGAACGTCGAATTTGACTGTTCATATTTATATCTGATTGTTTATTAATGATTGACAGCCTCTCCAGCCAGTCATTTGGTTTGCGCAATGGTTATTGGGTCGGTTGGCTTGGTTAGCAGTCGAAACTCACATCTACCACGTACTATTTCCAGATTGGATTCAAGCGCAAGAAGAAGGTATCAATCGTTTTTCCTATTCTTAATTCCGTTATAGCGGAAATATGGGTCCGGTTAAAGAAGAGAGAAATAAACACGTTTTTGTGCTTAAAAACCGTGTGTTTATACAGTATTGGGGTTGAACACGATTCTGTATGTTTGTCCTTTTTGTCAACACGATTGCGTACGTTTGTAAATGGATAACAAAAAAGTAGATAAGAAAAATAAATAAACACGATTGCGTATGCAATTGTATGCAACGTTGTCAAATTTACTAATAACGGTAAAATATAATTTATAATATTTAGACTTAGAAAAACTAAAAACTTAACAAAAAAATTAAACAAAACTTAATAAACTTAACAAAAATTTAACAAAAAAATAAAAACATAAAAAATAAATAGTATAAATAATAGACATAAACAATAAATATAACAGTTCTATAATAGTAAAATGATAATAAGTAGTAATAATAATAATAATAATAATAATAGTAAATAAAGTAATTAATAAATAAATAAAATCGACAGTTTTTATTTAAATGAAATTATTGTTAATAAATTATTTAAAATGCTTAAATTTGGACTCCTTGACTTCTAAAACCTACTACCTTTACTGAAACTCGAAAAATACCATCTAATATAACGGAAATAATGAAATTTTGTTATATCTGATATATTTGATATTATTAACAATAAACATGGGTAATAAAAACAATAAAACACCAAGTATTTATTAAATTTTTTAAGTTCCCTTGTATAGGCATGTGGTCTACCAATACCGGTATGAAAATTGGCATTAACGTTTAAAACTTTATAGTAAACTGTCGTAGTAAAACTTTGTAGATAAAAATCAGGTAAAATCGTACGGGATCGTGTAGCTTAAAAAGATATCGACGATAACGAACGTACGGAATCGTGTTTTACCCCAGTATTGTTATTTACTAGCTCACTGTTGGCTACTAGTTTATATTGAACGAGTATTTTAATTGTTTAAGAATTCTCTGTAACTATGTTTGATGTTGCGTTATTGTCTGGTAGCAAAATGTATTGGTGTTCTGAAGTTCCAACTCGAGATAAGCCAACATATAATTAGTTATGGGAAAAACACTCCTATCTCGTTTCAATGCCCACTAGGCGACATTTTTGAAACTGAGACTAATTTACCGTGAGGTTAAATAAAAATTTTACTAAAAACTGTAACTTTACACTGGTGAAAGAATTTTCAAAATTGATTCAGTACGTAGTTCCACAGATCACTTCTAACAAACAAAATCAGAAACTTATATTATTTAACTTACTTATTTCGTGTTTGTAATGACTATATACCATTTATTTAATCCTTAAAAATGTTTGTGTAAAATCTGAAAAACGGCCTGTTTATATGGTTGAGGATTGATAATTCGTCAACTATTACTGATTTTTTTTTTAGATCCAATGTATTCGGAATACGACCTGGGACCAGACGAATTCGTACCGGATCAAGGAGAAAAGACTGCTGACCAGAGTGACAAGCCTACAATGGAAGGTAGCGATCGAGGTGGTTCCGACAACGATTACAAAGACACGCCACCACATCCACCACTTTACGTGCCTAGTATGAAAAATTCCGAGTACTTTAACCCCGTTTACAACCGAACGCAACCAGGCGTAACCAGAACCTGTCGCAAAGCAGTCGACTTGTACGTTCTGCAGCCCAATAGATTGAACATGAGCGGGTCGTTTAATCCGCTCAAAGGAAAATTGACCAATTGTCACGCTACTGGATGTGAACGGTTAGTATAGTAATACATCACATTCGAACCATTGCAACACTTACAACGCTTTAACCATGTAAATTGATATCCACTAACTACTTTTTCTTCGTTCATTTTTATTTTTTAGCCTATTGTAATAGGTTTTCCAATTTAAGTCTATATGTATGTCTTTGTACACACACACGTGCACTAGAAAATTTCTATAAATTCCAAAAACATAATATTGCTATATTTTATCGATAAAATATATCCAAAGCTACAACAATTTTCACTCTAAGTATATATAGTTATAACTTATATTACATTCATTCATATGTAAATCTAGGTACAGATTTTATTAATTTAGTGACACGTTCATAACTAATCGATATCAAAAGGACGTCTGTTTTTTATGCTCCCGACATAAGAAAATCGCACACTGAAAATGGCACTTGCATTTTACTCGACGTAAAAGTTACTAAATATTTATATATGGGAATACTGTTTTTACAGACCATTTAGCGTGCAAAAAATCCCCCACAGCAACCTAATACTATTAGTGGTGGATACGTTGTGCCCCTGTGGTAGCAAACAACTCAGCATTGAACCTCAAGAGATCCGAATGGCAACAGATGAATCCGGACAACCTGTATACAATTGTCAAGACCATAACATGTTCCGAAGGCGTACTGGAAAATGCATTAACTATCATCCAGAAGTAAGTCATTGTTATTTGTATATCTTAAAATAATCATTGATAAAAGATCGTTGGATAATTTATAAAAATTTAAAATATAATATCGTAATACATTTAATGGACAGATAAAACTTTGTTTTTCTTAAAATAATATTTTATCATAACAATAACATTTATATGAACTGATATAGCATCAATTCAAATTTTTGTTATTTGAAACCTTTTGAAAAATGAAGGGATGTAAAAAAATAAAATTAAAGAACATTTTATACAAAATTTAGTTAAAAATGTATTTATTCAGTTTTTTTCCCCTCCGTTGATTACGAAAATACGGAAACCTGTATCTAAACTGATGTAAAAAAAAACCTAATTAAAAAACTAAGCTACTAACTATTTTTTAAATTTAAATATTGATACGTTGTATAACTTTTTACTAAAAGTAATAGTATCTAGTACCTAGTGTTTTAAAAATTAAGTTATAATAATGCATTCATTTTAAATTTAAATTAATTTGAATAAATCAAAAAAAAAAAAAACCTAGGCATAATTGTATTAAGCTTATAACAAGTATTTTTCAAATGCGATTTCAACATGTTTAATACAACTTAGGCTTCCTGCCAACATGACCATAAGATAGAATTTATCTTAATAATTGTTTTGTCTTTTAGGAAATTGAAATCAAACAGTGCGGTTCGAGTTCAGCGTTATTGGTCACCTCATACCTAGTACTGCTGGGTATGATAACAGCTATATGGATAACGTGATCGTCGTATTTCAGCTGAACGATCAATTCCTCAGCGTTAACGTTTTTACGAAAAATATATTATAAATGTATGATAATTATTAAAACAATATTTTTTTTTTATATAACATCTTTTATCAATTTTTTATTGTTATTATTATTCGTTTAAAGGCCAGTCCGCGAATGTGCGAACTTTTACGTGCCCCGCTTAATTGTTGTAATAATAATAGTATTTGGTCTACACATACACACACACACACACACACACACACACACACACACACACACACATATTAATACTCACAATATGAACGCATATCGTATATGGTATATGTATTATGGATTTTCTGTTATATGTATATAACATGACTATACTAAAATATTTTTGTACGTCAAAAATTATTATGTACTTGGGAATGAATTTAATATATTATAATAATAATAATAATAATAATAATAGATAAATACTAGACAATAATGTTTTTGTAATGATCAATCGTATTGATTATAATAATAATAATAATAATAAAATAAATAAACATAATGTATTTCACATGACATGGTGCGATGAATATAAATATTTCATACTCAAAAGTTCCATTATTCTGTTTATGCTTTAAAAATAATCTGATGGTTTTTAAGATTTCAAATATGATAAGTTAAACGAGATAGATTTTTTTTAAAAATTAAATAAATACATTTTTTTTTTTAATCCAATTTTCTAATAACCTCTATCTATCTCTAAAGTTTACCGTAAATAGGAAATTGGCAATGCAGTAGATGCACTATGTTGTAATATATATATATATATATCATACATCATTTCTTATTACAAGACTCATTGTTTATTTTTTTGCATTATATACATATATATTATTATTATTAGTATATCAGTACACGTGTATCATAAAACATATGGTTATAATATAATATAAATAGAATAAATTATAAATTACTGAGTTGTTAGAATCGTTTGAGTACATATATTATATATAATACTTATATATTATAAATAATGTATGTGTTCATATGATTCAATTCGCGGAAATGCGATGGTTTTTAATATATTTATATATTAATATTATTGTTGTATTCTCTCAGTATAACATAACTTTTTTTTTTGCAAATATTTTGTATCTAATTTTAAGAAACGTATGCTGCAGGCCGCTTTTAAATCTATATTTCCTTTTATTTTTAGTAAAAATTTGTACAAAGTAATGAAATTATCTCGTCTAGTGTCTGCAGATCACGTGTAACGACTTTTACCAGTTGTACTATGTATATTGTAAAAAAAAATAGGTATATGCTAGTGATGGGTCGAACTGTTCGAATCTCGAACCGAACCGAACCGAACACTTGATGATCGGTTCAGTTCAAAATTCGAACTCGGCATTAAAAAAATCGAACCGAACTATCAAGCATCTTTTACTGTTCGAAAATCGAGCTTGAAAATATTTGTCGAACCAGACTTACTGGCCACGATAGTTCGAAAATCAAACATTTGTACAATTCTTCAAAAGTTATTTTTGAAAAATAAAAATTAATATTGATTATTTAGAAATAATTAGACTATTGGCGATAGAAAGTGATAATCTGTAAAGGGCACGTTATGCATTGTTTAGAGTAATAATGCTATTATTATAATAATGTTATTTTTCCAGTCGCATGTTACACACCCACCCTCCGCCAACCAAAACATTAATAAGTTGTTTATCGCCAATAGAAGCAGTGTATCTACATCCATAAATTAGCTATTTTTGTTTTTATCATATTTATTATAGTGGTTATAATCTATTTTGGGTAAATCCATGGTAATATTCCGATACCCCGACTGTGCTGTTAATAAAAACATGTTTACAACTTAGGTCTTACATTATAAATTCTAATAATCATTCTATATTTCTGAATTATAGTTATTATTATTATTATTTTTATGTATTATTAAAATGCATTAATTGTATTGTCATATTACACTCATTACTCAATACTCAATGAATATTTTATAAGCTACAAGACAACACGAGAGAGCACATTAATGGTTTTGAAAAATAATAATATTAATAAGAAATTATCTAAAATTTAAATATATTGTAAATAATACAATTATTTAGACTTCAAAGTTAAAATGTAGAATAAGTAATACGAAAACTTAAAATACAATAGTAATTAATAATTATGGTTGATTTAATTTGTAGGTAGGTACAATGTACACGATAAAAAGAATTGAGTTCGAGTTCGAGTTTAACTTAAAATCATAATAGGTTCGGTAGAAAATATGAAGATTCGGTTCAGTTCGAGTTTGAAAAAATAATTTAAAGTTCGGTTCGATTTAAAAAATCAGGGTTCGACCCATCACTAGTATATATGTATAAGGTTTTAAATCCCGGGGATTCGATTCACTATTTTTAATTATATATATATATATATTGTACACGGGTCGACTTTATAACTTTTACTAGTATAATACCTTGAACATTCGATCGACAACGGGTTCGAGTGGCGTATTAAAGACCAGGGGGTGTAGCAGCAGATCTTCCAAGATTCCAGGTTCAAAGTTTAAAAACCTGCTGTAAATCTCGAAAAGAATATAGAAATTATATAACAAAAATAAAAATTTAACAACTTATTATGGTTAATTAATGTACTTTTTTTTTCTTTTTTTTTTTTAATTTGCCTTACAGCAAATTAATGTACTTAAATACTATATATTTTTTATGATAACAATTTCGGGAGCTAATTCCCTGGGATTTCTTGTAAAGAACACATTTTAGAAGCAATGTACTCTCCAAAAACATGTCACTTGGTAAAGGTCAGCATTTCGATGAAGGGTATACATATGCCCAATTAGAGGGGGAAATATTTATCTAGAGTAAGTCATAAATTAAAGTGATGCAAAAAAAAAAAAAATTAGCCTACCCAAAAATAAAACCCTAGTTGCATCTATGAGGGTACAATATACATTCTCAATATCCTTCACATATGCTAAACGAGCTCATACAGGTACTCTACACAGGCGTCTCCAAATCTTTAACAAATAGTTTTTCTTCATCCCTATTATTATATTATATGCATATGGATTTGCGTCGTTGTTTCCACTGGCGTTTAATTTGGAGATGCTAATATGAAATTTAGAGTTGCTGAGCACCACCCCCTCCAATTTTGCCTTTTATTGGTACGTATGTGTTCGTATTAATTTTACATTTTATTCTCTTGCGTTCGTGCGTTCGCCTTTCATGAATACCTACGTACCAGCGTGCCCGAGGATGATTTTAAGTTGTTCCGTTATACGCCTTTACCGCCTCTACCACACAAACCCCGTGTCGACAAACGTCCATTACATCCCATTACGTTGACGTACTATCAAACGACCGATATCGATGTCGAATACTCGACCCGTTTCCTTCGAAAATTATACACACAAAATGTTTTCGAATTCGCTTCAATGTTGACGACTAAATTTAATGCGTCTCATTGGTTTTATATACGCGGTAGTTTTTAGGTTAAACAAATCGTATTCAAATGTTGTTAAAAAAATTAATAAAAGCTTAGTATATCATGTGTAAATATATAGTTAGTCTAGTAATACTGTTTTCATTAGATTTTATAGCAACTATATTGTCGTTTTAAAACACGTTATGTTTGTATAAGTTTGATAGAAAAATATTTGTATGCCTAACCCTAACGTCCCTAATCAAATACTACGATATTTTCTGTTTTATTAATTAATTTAAAACGTTAAATTGTTTAAATTAAATTTTAAAAAGAAAACCTTTTTTTATAGTTACCCGTCTATAAAGACTTGAGTTTTTTTTTTATATATTTAATTTTTTAGGCTTAATAATTTAGAATAATTATAAAATTGTAATTAATAGATCTAATATTTACTATTGTTTTAATAACTCAACGTGGTATGTTCAATTATGGTACGAACGTCTACTATTTTTAAGCATACACATATATGCATACATACATATGTATAACTTATGTCTTCCAGTAACATAATATGTTTATATAAAATTTTTAAAAAAGAACCTAAATTCGCTGTCAGTTCTTTCAGTTTTTTTGTAACAAAATAATTTATTATAATATATGTACATACATAGTTTAAAGTCTTTGTGTATATTTAAACCTGGAAGAATTCCTAAAAAAGTAAGTATCAAATAATCAACAGCAGATGCAAAACTAGGTGGTAAATATATTTTATTTATTTATTATTTTATTCATTAAAGCTACGTACTTAACATTGGGTTTGATATCTAATGTAGGGTGACCATATGTAAAAAAAAAAAATACAGGACATATATATATATATATATATTTATTTATTAATTTTTAATTGTGAAAAAACACAATTTTTAATAACACTGTATAACATTAAATTCATGTACTTTACTTTTTTATAAAACTTCTTAATTAATTTTGATGACGATTGTTCAGACATGTTTTCACTATTTGATCTTTCATATTTTTCTGAAGAAGTAATTAGCTTTAATAATTGTGGATTTTCTTAAAGAAATATATGAAATTCTGTACAAGAAACATTTTTTAAAATGTTGTTTTACGATCATTATCGATCTAATTGTGTCCACGAGAAATCGACTTTTCTCATCTGTCCATAAAACATTTGTAATTTAAAATACTCTTTCTACCGACGCGTTAGTTCCGGGAATAGCCATTGAATGCTCTAAAATAACCGTAAAATATTTAATTGGAATGTAATTTTTTTCTAGAATTTTAAATATTTCACAACACCTATCTTCGGCTTTTAAACCATTACTAGTTTTTAAAATTAACCTTCATTACATTTATCACATGATTAAATTCGTCAAAAAGTTCATCTTCATCGAATTTCAATGTTGGATTATTCTTAATAATATATTTCAAACTCTCTTAAATGTCAATCCAAATTGGAAAATCTAGTACTTGAATCCAACGAAAAACTTTTAGTGGTTCAAATTGATATCCCCATTTTTCCAAAATGGTCATTTCGATAACTCAGATAAGTTCCGATAACTCGTAAACATTCTTCTCATACTGATAAATTCAAACAATCACAAGATTATAATTATAATCATTATTCATTACTTTCGTAAGTTTCGTTTTCAAATTAATTTCGTTTGATCAAAAAAACAGGACAATAGGACACAATACTGAAATAAAGGACAATCCTGTAAAAAACAGGACGTATGGTCACCCTAATCTAATGGGTATAAAGGTGATAGTTCAGTAGAAAGATTCATACTTCAAGCTTTTTTTAGGCATCTGTTATCCATGATGAATGCAGTAACTGTATTATATTTATATGCATAAACGCAGAGATAGGCATTAACTAGTTAAACAGTTAAAGTTAAGCTAAAAAATTAATTTTTTTTAAATTTTTAAATTAACTAGTTTAATTGGCAGTTGAAATAACTTAGCTTGTCATAGTAAATTTAAAAAGGATCTATCAAGTAAAACAATTTTGAATTTTTTCGTTTATACGTAAATTATAAAAATATATAAAAATTAAATAATCGTGTAGAGTAAAATGTTGCATACACTGTACATCAGATGTCAAATGAGATTTTGTAGAATGGGGGCCCACCTTTAGCTATTGGGTTCTGGTCATGGATACAGAGTGTTATGTATAAATAATTTTAACTATAAAGACAAATAAATACGGTAGTGAGTGCAGGTCCGGATTAACACTATCGTAGGCACTATGCCCCTAGTCCTTGCAGGGCAGTTGTCCAGTATTTAAATGGTTAAGAAACCTTCTTTTTGGGAGATGAAGTGTTGAATCTCATGCAGTATTAAACTTTTAAAAATAATAATATTTAAAACATTAAAATCAAATCTAAACCTTTATATGATAACTAGGTATTATACATTTTTATACGATAAAAGTTTTAACAAATGTTAAAAAAAAAATTCATTTTAATTCAAAACATATATAATATAAATTGTCAAAAACCATAAAAAAAATGTTTATACCAATTTGCATACTACAAAAAAATCGTAGCCACACATTTTCGTATGCCCAAAAATATTTATAGGCCCTAGGCACAGTGCCTATGCGTTAATACGGCCCTGAATGAGTGGCTCCTTGATGTACAATGTCATAGTATTTTTCAAATACTTTGGCGCTATTACTGTATATTATGATAAAAAGTGCAGTAAAACTGTTTATTATAATTTAGGAAATTACGTAAATATTTCACAAATTTCGCAATCACTTTTTATGCGATTTACATACTTATTAAAAAAAGTAAATTAACTTTTTTTAAACCGAGTTAAGTTAATATTTTTTTCCTTATTAACTTTTAACTTATCGAATTAAATTTATGAATTTATAAATGTTAACTTTTAACTTATCGATCTTGTGTTCTCTTAACTTAACTTGAGTTGATTATTTTCATTATCTTACCCATCTTTGCATATATGTAATACTCGGTAAACAAATTATTCAGAGTAAAGTTATTAATGAAAATTTTGAAACTTTAAAAATAAAATGTAGGTAAATACTCTAGAAATAATCATGACATAAGAATGTGTTAGTGCAGAAACGTGATACATAATATAAGAAAAAAACGAGTTTTTTGAGTGTGATTCAAATTTTTAAATGCCAACAACACGATGATATGACTAACATATTGCCAGCCTCCTCCCAAGAAAAACTTCTAAAAAAAAATTATACAACTAATTAGCACGCGATTCAAATTAATTCGCAAGATCGATCCTGAAATTTGTACAAAGCTCTTTCCCCTTCAAAATTGAAAAGCCATGAGACTGGCAATTACCAAGCTTTACAGATTTTTTTCATCGACAAATGAAGATTTAAGAAAAACACAGATTTCAGGGTAATATTTTGTTTATGAAATAAAATATTCGATGTCTATAATTTTGCATAATGATGACGGAACCATAAATACGAAAAAACCACTGTCCACCCGAGCGATTAAAAGAACCACTGTTGGTGAATTACGGCCCATGTTTATGAAACAGACGTACGAGTTGCGGCCCGGGCTTATAAAACGAACGAATTGCGGTTACATTTTATTTATTGCTTCAAATCAGCCAAACAGCGTTATCCAGAAGACACCGTAAGGTTGGTTGTCTCCCAAAAATGTATTTTTATTATTATTTATAATTTATATCGATTAATCGTGTAATTCATTTTGTGCTTCGCGATGGAAATTTTAAGATCAAATAAAGATAATGAAAAAATTGCTTTAATCGATTATATGTATACAAAATACAAAGAATGTAAACAGTTTATTCAGTGAAAATCTACAAAAAGTAGTTCTTTGAAGTGTCCAAATCAGGGCTTATTTTAAGGTTTTTTTTAGAAGTGCGCAAAACTTAATACTCAACCCCCTCCCCATACTTTCAAAAATCTACCTCTACCTCGACCATGAAGTGGGTAACTACACTTTATTATTGTGAGAAATTGTTTTTAAAGATAGTATTTACAACTGCGCATTTTTCATTTAGAGTTACGCAAAATGTGTTCAACCGTACGTTAAAATAAGTCCTGGTCCAACTATATTAAAAACAACTTTAAACAAAAACAAGAGTGATACCTACTCTCAATATACGAGTAGATAAGACACGCAACAAAAAAGTTAGTGACCAAATCTGATTTACCTATTACATAACAGCATTAGCTATCAACTAAATGAAGGAACTAAGCCACAGATACATAGGAGAATGGCAAAAGTGAGATTTCTTCTTCATTAATCATACTATTGGAATTTCATATTCCATCACAGTTGAAAGTAGTTTATAATAATAATAATAATAGTACTCGTAATTGGAGTAATTAGTACACATTGCAGTTAACTTTTTTACTGCTATACTCATAGGCGTAAACTGGTGAGGGGGGGGCAATTTCTCCCTGGAATAAATATGGAAGAGTAGTGCCCTCTCTGATATTTAACATACCTTGTTTTAAAATAAGTACAAAACAGCTAGTTATAGCTATTTATATATGATTTTTTTTTTTTTAAATCTTAATTTTCAATTTTCGCTTATCTAACATAATATTAGAAAATGAATAATTTTGTATAATAATATGTAGGTAGTAAAGCGGCATTTAGCCGCGGACAGGGTTGGACTAGGCCACTGAGGCATGCCCCGGTGGGCTGCTGTAATTTTGGTTAAATAAAATTACTTAGATTTTTTATTTTTTATTTAATACGTCTATTTTCTGTTCTTAATATAAAATAAAAAATATCGCAATGTAACATGATATTACTAATGGATGCGGTAATACAGGATTAGACAACTTGGAGTTTGAAAATTGAACTTATTTAATGTCGCGATAGGCCGATTGATAACAATGATTTCATCACAATATTTATAAATAGAAAAATTGTAGGAAATTTTAATACAAAAGATGTGTACAATATGTTAATCATACGACGTACCTACCGTTCGCGTTTGTTCAAACATTTAACCAAAAGAAAATGTTGATATGGGTAGACACGGTCGTGCAAAGTATGCAATAGGTAACGAAATTGTTTTTTCGATAATAATTTTTATAAAATTTATTAAACTTTTATTTCAAAACATTTTAATAGTTTTGACGTTCAGTCAATAATAAGTCTGTAACTAGTTTCCAAACTTTCTGTTGACTTCAAGTAAATTATTACCGGTAAGCAATTATTTTATTAAAAACAATATGTTCTAACTCGGTGGTCGGCAACCTTTATGGACCTTTAGGTCACATTCACAAATTAAAAATAGTTCTAGGGTTAGACAATATAAAAAATGTATATGATACTCAACGACATTTGCTAGTTTTGAAATTTACTGCGGGCCACATAAAAGAGACATTAGTTGTCGACCCCGCTATTCTAACTCATTTAAAATTAAATATATTAACATATTTAAATTAAATCATTTTTTATGATGTAAAATTTATCTTAATAGGTAGTTCATTATATCAATATTATAGATAAGATACATTATGCGTAAACTAGATTTATTTAAGGTAAAACATTAAATCTGAAAATATTCAAATGTATTTGTGTGATTATTGTTTTTTGAGTTACGAAAATACATTTTCACAGTGGCGTGACTGGGAAAAAACCTAGGGGGGCAATACATTTATTATTACCAAAACCCTGACCCCTGACACCCCTCCCCCTCACCAGTTAAAACCTTTTTTTATTGTATGTACTCATATTTTATACACTATATCTAATTGTTTGATTTTACATAAGTCTTTTAACTCATTTCATGGTTTAGATAAACATAAATTGTTGGTAGCATGTACTAGGTACCAATATTGTTAAATAATACCCATATGAGTTCATTAATAAAAGGTTCTATTTATACTGTTGGATTATCTGGGGGGGAGCAAAATTATACCTTCATCTCTCATATAATTGTCAGAGGAGGCACTTGCTCCCACAATTACGCCACTGCATTTTCAGTTAAACAATAATTTGATTAGGAATCTACCTACTTATAAAGTTCCATTGAGGCCGTTCAAAATTATTTTGCCCGGATCGAGCTACAGAGCTTATCCAACCCTGGCCGCGGACACACTTTTCATCAGTTATGTAATTATATATTTGCCCCCTAATAAATTTCCAAGTTATGCCCATGGCTATAGTTTTTAGTAGTTGACGTTAGCACACATTGCAGTTATAACAAATTATTGAATATAAAATATTTCAGTTGCATGCGTTATTTATATAGTATACAAATAATAATTTAACTTATAAAACATAATGGTTAAACAAATTATTTTATAATAAAATTATTTATTTAAATTATTGTGTAGGTATTCATCTTACAAGTTCAAATAAAAACTATTTCATTTTTAAAAAAAGAGTGATATAAAGTAATTGGCAAATACTATTTGATTCACATAGACAATTATAACAATATCCAATAGTTATAATAATTATTGAAATTTCTACTAAGAATAAATGTTATAAATTAAAATATATACATTAATTTTATATTTAACTTATCACTTTTTGCTTATGGACCATTTTTATTATTATTTTCTATTAACCACAAACAAAACAAAATTACTGAAGTTAAATAATTTAAACAGAAATATACAGTGAAAAGTAGAGATTTTATGTATTAAGGTTAAGTTCATTATATAGAAAAAACTTCTTGTTTTATATATTGCAACACTATTAACAAGTGTAAATCTATAGCAAAATATTGGTACGCAAAGGTAAGCAATTATTATTTGGTCTAGTGTCTGTATCACTAAAAGATGAAGAGGATCCAGAATTTGAATGACTTCTACTACCAAAATGCAATTCAGATAGAGAATTATCAACATTTCTTTTTCTTTTTCTTAGTTTTTTCTTTTTAACTTTCCTTTTATTCTTATCTAAAACAACGGTATTTTTCATATGCATAGTTTGAGAACCACTAGTAGGAGTGAATGAATCATCATCATCAGAAGAAGAAGAAGAATCCAAATTAATCCTTCCTCTTCTTAAACCAGCTGGATATGTCATTCGAGACAAATGTACAGGACAACCAGATATAGATTCATTGATAATAGGTGAAAACAATCTTCGCCTCCTTAAATTATACCTATTTAACCAAAATAAAAAAATTATTCTAATGCACAACTCTCAAAAAAAAAAAAAAAAGATTTCCTTACCTATTATTTGGTCGGTCTAATGAATCTCGAATACCAGTAGATGTGGATGGTTGGTCCCTAGAAGAATCTAATGTTCTAGGAGGAAGATAAGAGTGACTAAGAATTTCAACATCCGAGTCTTCATTTGTAGAACTAACAATAATAATTTCCTGTCCATACAACCGTGAGTTAGTTTCAACTTCTTCATCATCTGTATCTAACACAATAGTTTCAGAGAATCTTGGATTTGGTGGAATTGGAACTGGTGAAATTATTCTTGGTGTTTCTTCAAACACATCTGATACATTTAATCCTTGATATACTGTTGCTGTTGGAATGATTGGTCTTATACTATAACGCACATTACGGTCATAACCAATCAAGTCATATGGACTATGGGCATAATTGTACAATTCATGAACAAAATGCGCTGAATGATTTCCAATATAAGGTCGTAAGGAGCTAATCATATACATATCTCGAATATCATAACTTGAAACTGATTGCATAATCAGAGTGGTTAAATTATGATCATTGACAGGTAATCCATGCCTAATAACTCCTTCTGTTCTTTCGACTGTTCTGATGGCTGTAAGATCTCTAAGAATGAAATCATGTAATCTATAAATCTGTGCTTGATTTTCTCTAAAAAAAATACATAACAAAATTTTTTTTTAGAACACAATACATAATGACAATGATTGAATAATTTTCTAATACAATCCAGAATTAATCAAGTCTTGAATTACAATTGAATATTATATTGTATTTATTTAAATTACCTATAAAAATTAGTACTACAATCTCTATATCGACCACTTAAATCGGGTAATGGATCAGCCCATAAATTTTCACTATACACTCTTATTCGCATTGTTTGTCCTAAAATCAAAATAAATATAAAATCTCAAGAAGAATTATTAATAGATCCTAATAAAATTTTACCATGTGGTAAGTCAATTCTTGGATGGAAACGAACTAATTGTGTATTTGAATGCATATTAAAATCTATATTAAAATCTGGATCATTTGTTTCTGAATTACTTAGCTGATGCAACAGTCTCTCATTTCTTCGAACAATATCCAAAAACAAATTCATCCTGAAGACACTAGAAAATCAATTAACAATAAATACATAATTTTTTCTTTAATAACATAATATTTAAAAATACAGACATAACATACAATCAATAAATTAAGGATCGACAAGAATAATGTGCTATGTAACATTTTTTTCGCATTCAATTGTTTTTGTGAAATAATGAACATTTTTTATAAAAATTACTTAAAATTTCATAAACATAAATATGATATTATTTTGTTAAACCATTAAGAATATGCTTTACAAATAATACTTATAAAAAATTTTAATAGGTACATTTTTTTTTTTTTTTTATTTGTTACTGTACAATTTAAAAATTGCTACATAAATATTTCCGTTAACCATTCAAATATATATGCTTCATTAACTACATCAATTGAATCATATTCAGAATTACTTTAAGACTATAACATTGCCAACACATTTTATTTTCTCAAATATATATTATAGATATATATTATAAACCCAAAAAAAATGACAATGTATCATAATACTAGCTTTAGAGATAAAATTAAATAATAATTAATAAAAGTAAGATGTTGAATTTTATTATAAAAATACCTGTTGTTATCAGCATTAGAGTAAAAGACTGTTGCTGTTGACCTAGAAAAACATAAATATTATAAAATAATATACATAAATATATATTATAAAATTAGAAAAAATATTCTTCAGTATATTTTTCAATATTTACACCAATTTTTAAAAAAATGATACTCACGAAATTTCTGCAATTTGTCTTGGAATTTCAAAAGTTTCATGTGAGCCCTGATCATTAAATGCATGGTATATACATTTGAATTCTTTTTTGCATAATGGACATGATGGCTGGATCTAAGCAAACAATTAGAATAAATTATATTTATATTTAATTTGTTTAATATTTATCTACAATCAATTTATTATCACATTCTCTCGGTTAATTATAGAGATGGGGAATAAATACAACTATTAGATACTAATATAATCCCCATTTTAAATATATATTTTTTTTCAAATACTCAGCTGATTTAATAATTAGATCAAAAAACAATATGTGAAAATTAATTTAACCCTTCGATAGTCACCACGGGGTATTTTAATACCCCAGACATGTTAAAAACGTTTATTCTTATAGAAAGAACATATGCACCTCCATCACCGTGATATCATTTTTGATTAGTTTATTAATATGATAGCATGATTTTTATCATTATCATTACAGTATCAAATGATAAACAGTAATTCAAAGTGAAGTCTGGAAATATTTTACCCCAGGTGACTACTTTAGTTTTAGATCATTTGAAAATTAATTTATAAAATAATTCCAATTTTTACAGAATTATTAAGTTTTTAATTATTTTCATTACAAGTTATGTATTTTTAAAAATTGTTATATTTTTCAAAAAGAGTTTCTTTTGAGAATAAATATTTTTATTCTAATTTTATTATAAAAGTATACTGAAAAGATAATTACATTATATTCATGATATGGTTCCTATTTAACATAAATTAATAAGTAATAATAAAAATATGTTGTATATGTTATCCAAAATAATAATTTAAATAATAGATTACTATATTAATGTCACATAAAAAATAAAATAAAAAACTAGAAAAGTAATTAGCAATATTTAATTTTATAATTATATAGAATAAATGTTAATATTACCTTTGAAATATTTAATAAAATCGCATTTAATTATTTAAATAATAATTATACCTATATGTAAGACACATATTTAATAAAAAATAATAAAATCTATGAATTTATTAATTACAGAAATAAGTTTAATACATGGGGTATAATATTACCCCGTGTGATTAAAATTGTTCAGGTCAACAAGGTGACTAACGAAGGGTTAAGTAATACACAATTTATATAAAAAAAAAAATAAAAGGAAATATTTACCTAGCATATATATATATATATATATATATTAGGGTGGTCCTTAGTTATAGAAGAATTTTTTTTTTAAATATTCTTTGGCCAAGTAACCACCACTTTGTTCATTATAATCAGTAAGTAATTAGGGCTAAATTTGGTCATGATAACTCATCCCCTTTCCATGCCTCAAGAGGGTTGAAAATTTGTCATAGAGGGTAATTTTGTAGTTTTGTGAATTTAACTTGAAAGCTATAGTACTTAGCGAAAAAAATGTATAGAAGGTTAATTATATATTTTAATGTTGCTCATAAAATATATATTTAAAATATTTGTCATAAGTCTGTAATTTTCCAAGAAAAATAGTAAAATACAAAATATTTTATTTATTTTGCAAAATAGATTTTTTTATATTTATTCAAGTATATTTGATAAATATAAAAAAAACGATAACACTTCTTACATAAAAATCAAATAAAATTTAATTTCCTGAAAAAAGTGAATTTTGTAATATCCGGATTTATGTAAATTAGGCTAATATTATAGCAGTTAAAATACAATTTTATTTTAAGAATCCCATTTTAATACATAACATATTTTTTACATCCAAATGTATTTTAATTATTTATTATGAGTTTTTTTTAAAACTTCATGAATAAATCCCGGGTATTCCTTCCTATTAACTTGAACAACCTAAAATTATAAATAATACATTATAATAAATTCCTAATTATTCCTAATATTCCACAAGCATAAAATACTAAAAAATTATCTGTAACATGCATTGATTTTGTCCCTCTTGTTTATAAATTTGTTGTTAAACTCCTCCATCAATTTCACACTTTTTTCTGCACTACGATTGACAACTTTTAATGTACTTATAATATTCTTTGCTTCTTTATATTCGGTAGTAGTTTTTCATAAACTTGGAGCCTTATGTAAAAAGTCTGGAGAAATACGAAATCTTTAAGTACAAAAGGTTGAACGTCATCAAATTGTAAAACAATTTTTTTAAGACTTTTTCTTGTTCATCAGCATTGATTTCTTCTTTGTTTATTTTCAATATTCGTTTTGCCATTTATGATTTTGTATTGTCATCAATGCGATCATCATATAAAGAAAATACTGCACACTTATAATTTATGTACCAAAAATGGTTGATAATTTTTTATTATTGCTACTTCTCCTATTTATTATTATGTGTTGTATTCTTTTTTTCTTTCTTAGGTTAATCAGCTGCTAGGACCATCCCGTCTCATAACTAATTCTCCAGCCATCTCTATTCATCATCAAATCCTTCCAATTTGCTCCGCCTTCTAAATCTTCTACACTCCTCTTAACTAAATCTTCCCATCTCAATTTTGGTCTTCCTAAGGATCTTTTTCCTACTTGGTTCTGTTCCAGCACTATTCTAAGTAAAGAATTCTGGCTACGCATTGCATGTCCTGCCCATCGCAACCTTATTTTCTTGATTGTCTTTGTTATATTATTTTCATTAAAAATTTCTTGTAGCTCTCTATTTTTCCTTCTTTTCCATTTTCCTGTGTTGTCATATTTTATTGAACCGAAAATCTTCGATTTTTTTTTTAATACAAAATAATAAAACATCTTCTACTACATATTTTAATTCTTCAAACACTTCTAGGTGTGATAAATCTAATATATCTTCTATGTATTTGCTAAAAATAATTGTTTCTGAAATTATTATTTTATATAATCCAAATATTACTACAATACAATGGTTATTCCACAGAAAAATTAGCAATCACCTTTTTTAGAATATTAAATTTTATTTGATTTTTATGTAAGAAATTGTATCGTATTTTTAATATTTTTCTTGGAAAATTACAGACTTACAACAAATATTTTAAATATATATTTTATGAGCAACATTAAAATATATAATTAACCTTCTATACATTTTTTTTCGCTAAGTACTATAGTTTTCAATTTAAATTCACAAAACTATAAAACTACCCTCTATGATAAATTTTCAACCCTCTTGAGACATGGGAAAGGGATGAGTATCATGACCAAATTTATTCCTAATAACTTACTAATTATAATAAACAAAATGTTGGTACCTGGCTCAACATTTTGACAAGTGTGGTATAAATGTGGTATAACAAAAACCAACTTTACTGTTTAATAAAACTAATAGGATATAAATAACTATGAATGAAATAATACAATAATTAACTCACCGTTGACCATCGTTTTAAACACTCGAAACAGAACAAATGCCAACATGAATCTGAATAACATTTATTATTTAACTCTTCAAGACAAATTGAACAATTTGTTTCTGGTGTGCTAGGGCGTACTGCTATATCATCATCTGAAGATACATCAACTACACTAGGAATTTCACCAAATAATTCAGGTTTTAGGTTTAAATCCATGTTGAATCACCAAATTTTAATTCTAAAACAAAAAAAAAAGTACTTAGTTTTAATAAAATAAATCCATATTTGAATCCTTCAAAATAATCAAGTATAATAAATAATATAAATAAATAAGTAGTAATTTCAAGTAATACAATATATAATCAAAAATATGAACTGATGACAATTATACTGTACCTGAAAAATAGCATATTCATTTACTACTAAAAGTGTATTTAATTCTTATATTAATCTATATTATAATACAAAAATACATTATGCATTTACCATAAAATCAAAATATTAGTTACTTTTTTATTAATAATCTTAGTTAACATATAGTTATAAATTATTCAGTTTTTAGTATTTTTAAATTTTTGTACACAATTAATTTTTTGTGCACAACAAATTTGATAAATAGTTACATATATTTTAAATTAGAACATCAAACAAAAAGGAAATACCAAATTAATTATTCATAATTAAGTTTATAATTGAACCATAAAGTAAAGTGTGCAATGAAATGGAAATAATAAACAGTTTCAAATATAATAGTTTATGAAATAATGACATAATAATTTTTAAAAAGCTATGTATCATACTATCCATATTAGACATTCTTTATAAAAGTATAGGTACTATTATTTAAGCAGATATCTAGGTTGCTTCTTTTTTCTCTACACTACACATTTTAAAATGACTATGACCTAATAATATATATTATGTACCGCACAAAATATAATGTTTTCATCATGGAAAGAATAATTTATCATTTATTAAGCAGTATTATTCATTTTTTATAAAAATTGCATATAATAATGTTTTATTGTTTAAGAAATCAAATATTTAAAGCTGAATGCCATAATATCTATTGACTATGAATGCCTAGACTAATTTTAGATAAACAATTATCAGGATGTGCTGCCTCCAAAAACAAATGGCACTCCTGACGATCATTAATTGTATACTTAAGTATAAGTACACAATAGTCCCCCTCTCTGGGGTAATTACATAATATAATTTAAATAAGGTTGCTAGCAGAAAAGGAGAAAAATTGAGAATGTGACAGGAAGGAATTGAGAAAAAACTAGTATTGATTGTATGGTAAACGAAGGACTGAAAAAGATAGTTGAATAAAGATAATAAAGTTTTATTTATAAATTTATAATAAAACTCTGAATAAAATTAAAATTATATTAAGTCTATAGTAAAATTTAAAAAAATATTAATTTTTTTGCATTATCAACAAATTAAAATTATACTTTACTAAATTGCAAGAAACCAGGTGTTTAGGGAATATGGACTGCAAACTTATAATTATAGAGCGGATTTTTAGGTTCTCAAAAGATTAAAATATGATGCTAATATGCTCTAAAAAAACTCTAAAATAATCTCTAAATATTCCTTTAACTTGTAAACATAATTATTTCAATAAAAAAAATAAAATTACTGTTATGGGCCATTCCTTTGGTAACAGGTAAATTATTTAAGTATAAAAATTTAAAACAGTTTATACTGGAGTGTAAATATAATAAAGTTATATATAAAAACAAAATAGTTAAATAAAAACAATGAACAACTTGTATGCACTATTCCTTGGTAAAAGATAAATTATTTAAATGGAAAAAAATGGATAATAGTTACAAAGGAATATAAATATAACAATTAAATTTTTTTTTTCCTAGAAAAATCACAACTCGAGAAATTAATAAAATATGCTATTTTACGAACAATAATTGAGTATATTCAAAAATATTAAAATAGGCTAAATATTCTTAAATGTCCAAAATATGCTAAAATATGCAAAATAAATGTTTTCCTATGAACTCTATAATGGATAAATTGTCCACATTTTTTATCCTTATTAATCTGCATAAAGCCAATAAAAATAGGTATGTAAAATCCTAGATCCACTTTCTACTTATAATCTTATTAACTGATTAAAAATCAATATATTTATAGAATGCCTAAAAAAACCAGCTAATAAAAATTGTATGATTTGCTAGTGATAAAATTATTTTATATAATTCAGATTATAAAATTAATCCAACTTTAAATAACTAAATTAATTAAAAATAATATATATTATAACTTAACATAACTATGTAAGTATTAAGCACATACTAGTAATAGATGTTTTTTTTCAAAATAGAAAAGGATAGAATCACAGGTATTAAGTACAAATTATATATTTAGCAAATATATCAGATGATTATCAATTTATACCATAAAACACATAAATAAACAATTATGTGAGAAAATGAAATTAAAGTAGCCACATTTCTTATACAATTTTAGGGTGTTATAATTAAACATACATTCTTTGAGTATTCTGCTTTAAGATATCTATTATTTTAATTGGGTTTACTGATTGTACTAATAAAGTGTTTTAATTTTGAAATGTATTTAATAAGATATCCAAAAAAGAAATATCACAGTAATATGCTATTTAAGTACACTTATTTAAGAATAATTATTCAGAAATTTAGATTTCATAGTTATTTTCATTGTACATACTTGGAACAAAAGATGCAGTGCTAGTGCTAGGGGAGGACAAATGGGACATCTTAATACTGTGAGACACACTGACATTTTATATCAACATATTATAAATTTATATTATTCCTATCACCAGTTATTTGAAAAATGATATCTAAATTTAGCCATAGTACAAAGTACAAAGTAAATCATTATAGATACAATGAAAGTGTAATATTTTGACGAGTAAGATTCCTACAATAAACAATAATATAAATATTTATTATCTTTATAGTTATTGTTTAAAATTCGAATAAAAACAGTATTTTTTAAAAAAAAAAACTAGAATTTTGCCCCTCTCTGAGGACCTAAAGCTAACACCTATATCCAGGGCCCCGTAATACCTAGCACCGGCACTGAAGAAATGTAATTAGAACACTGCTATGATTATAAATTTGAGTAGAGATTCATGTAAATAAGATTTTTTTTTCTCTATATTTAACATATCAATTTTTGTCTTTTATACTGATACGTTAAAAAATATACGTAGAAGACTACATGCTACATCTACCAGCTATGCTACTACTTAGTAAACTAGATATATACCAAAAAGTTACCTAGGTGGGAAGCATATTATAATAAAATTATTTAAAACATTTGAAGTCTGATTAACATTTAAAATCTAATGTTACATGCAACATGGGTTATTTTTGTAGATATACCATAAAATGTTACATAAAAAAAAATGTAAGATTATGATTGAGATGGGATATTGTTTGTAATTTATATTGAAAATAGCTAAAACGAGGATCACAATTACAGTAATATTAAGAGTATATACTCTATGCAAAACTATGCATTCCATAATTTTCAACTATCATAAATTAACACAATTAACCGCCCAGAAAGCAAAATCGCTATAGCAATTGTGTGTCTAGACACATCTACCTGATATTCTTTCGCCACAACAGCTCTGAGATATGTAATTATGATAATACTCAATTTCAGCAAACATCAGAAGTAAAATAATTGATTAGAGCAATTGAAATTAACATTAATTAAAACTGTAAAAATATATTTTAATTTTTTAGGTTCTTATGAAGTATTTTAAATTATAAGATAATAGTTATACAATAAATAATTTTCAAATCAAATTATATATAAAATGTTGTCAAGGTAAGAAATTTAAATATTAATTATTCATATAAATAAATAACCAATATGTCATTTTAGAACGATAATAAACAATAAATATTGTACTGTTATTTAATACCTCGGTAGGTTTTTTTTTTATTTTAAAGAATCCATCATGAGCAAGATATTTAACTGATTTAGATGGAGTAAACAATAAAATGCATTAGATGAACAGTAATAGCGACAGGGATGAGCCAAGTAGGGTCATAATCTTACCTAAAAATCCCTGGCCCCACCACTGACCTAACCTTGGACAAAATAAATATAATAATATAGTCATTTTCTATAAGCAGAATTATTTTAAATCTTGAGCATACAGAATGCGGTTTGTCATGGCGATCAGCAATATTTGCCCTTGCCGGTAGGGTGATTAAGTTGTATTACGTAATATCAGACTATCTCTGTTACACAGAGGGCAGGACAGTTTAGATTGTGATGACAGGCGATAGAGTTGTATAAAATTACCAAATAACACACAAGCAGCTTCAACAATACTGCAAAAAAAAACTCAATAATTAATAGAAAATGTTAGAAAATATATATGTATTCTTAAATGTTAAGTTTTAGTATAAGAAACATTATTAGTTTCACTAGGTCATGAAATTCCTCTTAACACTCTTGTGACTTGTGAAAATATTGAAAAAAAAACAATCTTCATGATTGAAGTTAATTACAGAGGCAATGGTATTCGTAAAATTGTTCTCTTTTCCTATTTATTTTATGCACCAAAATACATATCATCCTTTTATTATTAAGGACAAGTAATAATAGAAGTAGTTTCTCATCAGAACTTGACATGTTATAATATATAGAGACCGTAAAAACAAATAAAATACTGAATATAAAAATAAAAGCTAGTGGATAATGAAACGTATAAACTGTATACAAGGTTTCACTTGACTAAAATAAAATGAAATTCTTTCTCAGTGCTCTACATAATACCGCATTTTGTGTGCGCCAATAGATGTAAATGAATTGACCGAAAAAAAACCGGAACATACAACTTAAGTGATAAAAAAAAAGAAAAAAAAATCCAAACCTAAACTCACCGAACGAACAAACTGATGACAGCAGAAGAATTAAAATAAAATAAAACAACATAATCTTTGACTTACCATTTACGGAGAAGGATTTCCACTCGTGCACACACAGCAGACGTTATTTGTGTTTACCCAGACAGCACTACACGGGCAAGCCCATGACGGTACGATGTGCCAAGCGTGAAAAATATGTACATACGCCCGTCAAAGAGGCCCCGAAATATGGAGGCTACGGGACATCTCGTACGAGTAAGGTGCACGGCGCAGAAACAGGTTCGCAGCCGACCACTACCGCCGGGGCCCCGTTGCCGAGCACCAGATAGGGATAAACAAGGAAATGGTGTAACGAACGGACGACGGTCCCGACACGAGGACAACGAGCGAAGAGCAGAGCATACAACACCTGGGCACCGCGACAAGTGCCGTCGATAGAGAATAACGGCCGCGAGACGCTAGCGGGCGAGCGACAACGACTCCGCTGGTTTCAGGGAGAGAAAAGACAGACGTTGGCGGATGCATGCAACATTCGATTCACAATCACTGAACACAGCGCTCGGTATTCACCACTTTATCAATACTACAGCGAAACACAGAACGCTCGCTCTGTAATCGCTACAACGTTAGCCCCCCCGACAACGAGGAGAGTAGTGCACGATAGGTATCCTGATGGGAAAATGTGGTACTGCCTATCCGATTGCACATTACTACGTGCTCCGTAGTGACACGATGTACTGTGCGTGTGCCACGGTGACGTCACTAAATCACTTCAGCTCGTCCGTTTAACTTAACCTACAACTTGTGTAGGTGTGACCAATGGTCTGTTGGCAACAATGAATCGCGCGACAGCTGCGAGCTCACTCGTGGTCGCGCACCATTTCCTGGGGCCATTATCACGTCCGTATGTTTTTCATCGTGGCGGTCGTAAAGACCCGCGACCATGGACATAATTTATAAATGTATTATATCTATGGTCACGACGTCCAATGCCCAAAGGCGTTATGATTGTGTTCTCGTGTCGCTGGTACGAACCATAGAATAATATTACTAATATTACTCTATGATACGAACCATGATACATTTAATCGTGGTGCAAACCATAGACCCTATACTCAGTATAAGATCTATGGTGCAAACCACGGTTGTAAATAGTAGGGACGGAAATTACAACTCATTCTACTGAACTGAATCTTTCAACTCACTCCAGTGTAATGAGTTGAATCAAAGAGTCGACTCCCAACTCTTCAACTCTTTGTTTGAATCAGATTACCACTACTCTAATCAACTCTTCAAGTCTCGAGTCTTGATTCGACTCACAAGTTTACAGTCCATTACCACTGTTACATGCACAGTTTAAACCGATTTAACGAAATTCCAATTAGCCATTTCCCGGAGTTAATTGAATGTAAATGGCTGTTAATTCGATTTAAAATCAATTCGGTCTACCTAAAACGGTTTAGTTAATTCACATTTGAAATGCGCATTATAAATAACTACGGGAGTACAAAATGCATGTAAACGCATCGATGCGAAATCACAACTACAACCAAATCAGTTATCAGTTGTAAATATTCATTATTTTATTAGGTGATAATAAAAAATAATTAGTTAATAGACAATAATACCGTATTTCAGTAGTAACTAGTAGGTTGATTAAAAATTGAAGTTAAGTGAAGTTACACACTGCGATTTTACTTTTATTATATCTATTGAAAAACTATATAGGTGACTGTACTTATCATACAATTACTATACAGTATACGTTATGAGTGAAGTAACTAAAAAAACTCGCACTAATTAGCCCGAATCAACCGTCTTATGTATGCTAGATATATTTAAAGAAAAACATTTGGATAGTCATTTGGATCATACGAAATAATGAAATTCTGATATATTTAAAACCGTTGAAAAGTCTATTAATAACTATAAATTAATAATTATGATGTTATCGCATAACCACAATCATGCCATCTATGTAATAATTAATATTTTCATGGGGGAAAAATTAGATTAATTCGAATTAAGTTAAATCAGTTTAAACTGTGCATGTTAAAGTTGCAACGTAAACTGGTTTGGTGGATGTGTATTATACTAATACGGTTTTAGACGCGCATTTATACAGGTACTCTAGTTCGAATCGAGTTCATTTGAATTAATGGATGCATGTAAACAAGATACATATTCGTGAATGGCTTATCGTAAATGAAACTAATTATAAGCGTAAAAAGTTACGAAATTTTTTCAGAAAGTAGGAAATCATGTTTTATAAAACAATAGAAATATTAATATGGTGGCGACGAACACGGCATTACACTGCCGCGATTTGTATCACAGTCCACAGATTACGTTTTCTTTTCTTATCTGTGAAGGCGTGGGTCGCATTGTTGCAGGATTTACGATATTTTAGTCTTACACTATTAGTACTTACCATTGGCACAATGAGTACTTATACCTAGGGATGTGTAGTTCATGAGCTTGTCGACTCTTAAAAATGAAGTAGACGAAACGAATCAGAGTTACAAGATTTGGCGACTCAGTGAGTCACTAACTCAGTTAAACAATCAATTCACAACTCACAACTGTACTACTGTAGATACACGACTCTCGACTCCTTTGATAACGGTTTGCGAATCCAAACAGAAAATGTAATACCAACTTAAACAATAGTTCACAATGGTGTAAGATTCATATATCGTAAATAGCTCAGTAAATCCTATAACAATGTGATGTTTCATAGTATATTACCATTTTACTATATTATCATTATATTTCATGTAATACATATTTCACTAATTTATAAATATTTTATCATTTCATCATTCATACGTCTTCTTTGTACGAAAATACAAGAAATTATTTTAAAATTAGATCCAGAAACTTCTATCTCTATTGGAAAAGCTTAAAATATTATGCAAAATGAAACATTAAAAAATAATTTAATTTTTATCTCAGTGAATTTTAGTTTTATTGCAAATAGAGTTAAATAATTAGAAACAAAAAAATATGTCCTTAAATGATAGTATGCAAATAATGTTGATGCCTAAAAGACGACATTTAACATTTAATAATTTAAAAGATATTGTAATAATTTAATGCAACAAATAATTTTGATAATTTAATAATTATAATTTAAATATTTGGATGTTTTTAGCATATATTTTATAAATTATACTTACATATATATGTACTGTGTATGTACTATATGTATTTATTGCATATAAATCCGTTCCCTAGTGATAAGAAATTCTCTTCGGGTATTGTCCTCATCAAATAACTTGTAACTGCAACGCGACCGATAAGTGATTCAACTTGCACGAAACTTATTTGAAACTTGTTGAAGCAACTCGATATGTACTGTCAAGTTAGGTTACCTTAACCTAACCTAGATATTGCGAACGCATGGTTGAAGGTCTGACGCATTGCAGTGGTAACGGTACCGGTGGCGATAATATGGACCAGTTGTACAGTTTTGTTATTAAACATCGATTAGCTAATCGATGATCAAATATTAACTCTTGATTAAATTATGATTAAATTTTGGGTGTTATACAGTTGGTGATTTGATCATGATTAGTTAATCAACAATCAAGACATAATATGATTCTTTTTATACAATATTTTCATTATTTTTTATTAAGTTGGTATTATTATAGGATAATTATTTTATCATCATTATTATCAGTATTCAGTTATTCAAATTTTTAATTCAAATATTTAATTTTGTTTTCTTGATACTTGATATTGTTTTTACTTGTAAAATGATTATTATTTTGTTTTTACTACACATAATTAATTTTACTCGGTAATTATTATAAGCTAAGAAATATTTTAACACAATATGCAATTAAATCCAAATGTAAATTAACACTCATCAATAAATAATGATGGACTGTAAATTGCAAAAATCAAAAATTGAAATCAAGATCGAACAAAGCAATATACCGTCGTCCGATGGAATAAATCTCCTATATGAAAAAACGTTACTTTTCAGAAAAGACAAAAAAGTTATTTATCTATCTATCCCCACATAACACTAACCTAATGGTTCTCAACCTTTTTTTGTTCACGGCACATCATTATACATAAAAAGTTTTCGCGGCACACTCATGCACTTGACAACAACAAATACTTTGGCTATACGCTAAGATATCCAGTTGGGTTAGAACCGTACAGTTTACCTATATATGTATCGTCTTATCTGCACAAATTATTGACATTTAGCTGTCATAGTTTCATCAATTGGTATTTTCAAATATCAGACATTTTTCACGGCACACCTAGTTGATCTCACGGCACAGTAGCGTGCCACGGCACACCGGTTGAGAACCACTGCACTAACCTACACACAAACGACAATACCCCCAATGTGATCGCCAATCATATTTTAATTCACATAGGAGGTATTTGTACATTTTTCTAAAAAAAGGTCATACACGTAGGAGCTTAAGCATTGGCGCAACTAGGTCTAAATTATTGGAGGGGGGGCTGAAGCCCTGCAAATAAATTTAGTTAATGTGAGCCATGGGGAGCTTCGCCGCCCATACCCCCTTGCCACAGCCACAGAACAATAATTAATAATTGAAATAAAAACAATCATAAAATATTATTACCATACTATATTATTAAAAATCATGTACCTACTTTCCATGTACAGTAGAACCCCTCTAATCCACCCTCGGTTGGTCCGCCACTCCGGTTAATCCGACCATAGTACTATTGATATTAATACTTTAAAAATACATTTGGATTTTCCAATTTATAGTTGATTTATAAAATTAATTGCCAGTTTAATATTTCCCTTATCGCATATCCACTTTAGTAGTTTAGTACTCCTTTTGTTACGACTGTGTTCTGTGTTTATAACGTGTATTATATTTTATTATATTATTAAATTACGTACGTGTACAATATACATACATATTTGTTTTGCATTGTGTACAGTTGTGTGTATTTTCAACATGTCAGGTATGAAACGTAAACACGTTACTCTTTCACTAAATGAAAAATTAGCAGTGCTACAAAGACTGGACAAAGGGGAATCACTTCAAAAAAATTGCCAAAGAACTCAATGTAGGCGTTCCGACGATAAAAGATTGGAGAAAAAATCGGAAAGACATTGAATCATATACAGTGACTATAGATGGTGAAAACGCTCTTAAAAAACGCAAAACATTGAAAAAACCTAAACTTGAACTGCTTGACAATGCATTGTGGATGTGGTTTTGCCAACAAAGAAGAAAAGGAACTCCAATATCTGGGCCCATAATAAAAGAAAAGGCAATAGCTTTGCACAAAAAACTAGAAGCCGAAAGTGAGTTCGCCGCTAGTGAAGGCTGGATTGATCGCTGGAAAACCTGTCATGGCGTCCGGTTTGTTTCAATTTCTGGTGAAAAACTATCCGCTGATGCTGAGGCAGCCAAGAATTTTTCTGTGAAATTTCAAGAAATTGTCGAAGAATATGAACTGTTACCTTGCCAAGTCTTTAATATAGATGAGACAGGCCTAAACTATAAAATGCTGCCAAACAAAACGCTCGCTTCATCAAATGATACCGTTGCAGGAACGAAACTTATAAAAGATAGGCTAACCATTGCTCCTTGCAGCAACGCTGACGGTACACACAAGCTTCCTTTGTTCGTTATTGGTAAATCTAAGAAGCCAAGGGCATTCAAAAACATAAATTTATCTTCCTTGCCGGTTTATTATCGCAGTCAAAAATCTGCTTGGATGGATTCCAATCTTTTCAAATCTTGGTTAATCGATGAGTTCATTCCATCTGTTGAAAAATACTTGAAACAAAAAAATCTCCCTGTTCGTGCTCTATTGCTATTGGATAATGCACCATCACATCCATCTGAGGAGGAATTAGGGAAAGAGGACATAAAAGCTATCTTCCTTCCTCCAAATGTCACATCACTTATCCAACCAATGGATCAGCGAGTTATAAAATGGTTAAAGAGGCGGTATCGCAGAAAGTACATCAGTTCAATTTTAGAAAAGTCCGAAGAAGGTTTTAACATATTTGAATAAATGAAATCCCTTAATATCAAAGATGCTATCTATGCTATTGCTGATTCGTGGGAGGAACTAAAACCTGACACTTTGCAAAAATCTTGGCGTAAGCTTTGGCCGGAAGTTATGACTGAAAGTGACCAGATCGAAGATGAACAAAACAACGACACGCAAGAAATAATAAAAGATCTACAAAGTGTACAACCGAATTTCCCTGCCAGTGAAGTTGAGGAATGGATTGTCCAATGTGACAAAAACTGTGAAACAAGTGAAAATCTTAATGACGATCAGATTATTACCGCCGTTTTGGAAAATAACGGTGAAGAAACTGTGAACGAGGACTCGGACGGTGATGCTGATGAACCCCCTACCCAGATTTCACACACCGATGCCAAGAATGCTTTTGATATTGCCCTTCGGTACATAGAGCAGAGCTTAACCTCAACACCTATGGACATTTTGTGGATCAAGAAATGGAGAAATATTGCAGCTAAGTCTAGAATTATATTCTCTAAACAAAAATCTATAACTGACTTTTTTTCTAAGTAATTTATATTAAAATAATACATTTATACAATAGTACATTTATATGTGTAATTATTTCTGAATACAAATAAATTTAATATTCAATTCTAAATAAAAATTGTCTGTATATTCTGATAATCCGACCTTTTTCGCGTTCCGACCATATCTCCAGTCCCAAAGGTGACGGATTAGAGGGGTTCTACTGTAGTATGTTTTACATAAAATATGACAACACCACCACAATATTCCACTGTCGTCCGTCACATTTATTAGGTAACAATATTATTATTAATTATGTAGGATTGTAGGAATTACAAAATAAACTATAATTATAATATTTAATATTTATACAATTTACTTTTGAATAATTCTCTGCAGCATATACTCATATTATTTAGTATGTATTTCACTATCTCATGCTTAAATTATCATTAAATTTTAAATAATCAAAAAACTTTAGGGGGCTATAATACTGTGGGATTTAAGTAATAAAAATCACTCACAATTTAATTTAATTAAAATAGACACTATATTATATAAATATGTATGTACAAATATCGATACGCGTTACAATTGCGGAGGAATTGCCGAATACATCGCGGAATGTAATTCACGGTGTGTCGCGGATGGTACTCACGGACTGATTGAATGAGCGTCTGATCAGCCGATATATATATATCAGCGTCGATTGTCTAGAACATTCTCGAAATTACCTTTACGATTATTACCTTAAGATAATCATCGCATATTCTAGAACATGGGATTTCCCCTTATCCACTGACAATATTGTAAACAACTTGGACGATTCGCGGTGCGTTGTTTACGTCACCACAATACATTTTGGGGGGCTAAGTCTTCCCTAATTGCGCCAATAAGCTTAAATATTCACATTGGATGTATTCCAGAAACGTTTATGATAATTCCTACACAAGGGAAATTATTTAATTCATATTTCATTAAACATGGAAGAAAGATAGCACATAGGAATTTTATTCATATTAAAGATAATTTTTTACTGAATTTAATGATACCAAAACCTCAATTTGATAATTTTTTTTTTTATTTAATAAAAATATGTAATAATTTTATTTTTAATTCACATAAGAGATTTATTCCCGCGGATGATGATATCAGATATCAGAAGTCTGAACCACAGAATATATGAAACCAGATCAATTTTTTTAAATTTATTATTTAAAAATTATAAATATTATAAATATGAATATAAATTAAATTATTTAAAATAAAAAAATCCACCATGTCCTTTAGGTATGATTTATTCTGTGTAAATTTTATTTTTATTTTTTTTCTACACTTTCGCATAACCTATGCTCTATGAAAAAATTAAAAATTAAAAAAAGTGGGTTTACAAAATAAGTGAATATTAATAAAATAAAAATTTCTAATGAGCTACTTACATTCATAATTATTCCACTTCTAAAAAATTAAATTAAAAACAAAACATTATTCACTCTTGTTGGTAATAATCTCGTTCGTTGTTAAGATATTAATTGTCCTGCTTGACTGAATAGCCGTTCACTTGGAACACTTATAGAAACAACATATAAATATTTTTTAGCTAAAATTGCTACAGCTGAAAATTTGTTTTTATTTTCTTTCCACCATATAAGTGGATCTTGATATTTTTTTAAATCATTGTGGCTCTCCTTGTAAACTAATTGTTGAATGTTTGAGTTTTGTGATAATAGTCCTGTTGTATAAACGTCATCTTCATCATCACTATCGTCTAACAATGATTTTTTTCGTTGGCGGTTCAGCTTCATTCTTAGTATCCGATATTGTTGTTTCTTGATTTGTATTGTTCATACTTGCTTGAATTCCTATTTCCTGCTCCAATTCTTTCCATACATTATCTTTTTCTTCTGTAGTTAAAAATTTCAACGCCCGATATCTTGGATATAATGCTGCTGCTTTAAATACTGTACTTCCCATTTGTTCTTTCCTTTTTTTTTTAATCGTCATGAATTGTTGTTTTTAAATTTTTCATTATTAGACTATCGTTATCTTCAATTTTCAGTAAAGTTAATAGATTTTTGAATACCCGTACTTTTATTGATGACGTTACATATTTGTTTCCTCCAAGAATTTCAGTAGTTGATTTAAAGAGCTCTAAACATTAATTAAATCTTCTATTTTTTTAGCTTCATTTGAAGTTATACGCCAACTATCTGTCTAAGAATTCAAAATCAATGCATTATTTATTGGATTTAAATTTTTTAACACACTAGACATCATTTCTAGGGTTGAGTTCCATCTAGTGATACAATTTCTAATCAGATTATTTTTAGATAATTGATACTTTACTTGTTCATTTTCTAAATTTGACTGCGAAACCGCACTCCTATGAAAATGTCTAACTACCATAGCTTACTTATTAAATCTTTAATTGTACTGTTCTCAAGTCCTACATTAATAGAAAGCTGTATACTGTGTGCAGCACATCTCACTAAATGTCCTTGTTTTATATTCTGAGTTGGTTCATTCAACCATATTAGGCGCATTGTCACACACAATGGCACATGTTTTATTTTCAATGCTCTATGTTCTGTAAACTGTTGATATAAGTTCCATAATAATTTCTTGATATGTGTGATTTAGAAATTTTTAAAGTTTCTACGATTCTTGTCGACGATAACAATACGAATACGATAAGACCGATAAAATCTTGTAAATCATTATAAAAATAGAATTCGGAAACCTTACCCGGCAACTCCGTATTAATTCTTATCAAAAAGTGGGGGAACTCTATTACTTGTTCATTGGGCCATCGGGGCACAACGAATTTTTGCTCGTCGCCTAATGATCGAATAATATAGTATCAGTATGTATGTATTCATAAACAAGTATTGTACGTAGGAGCATCCGTATTTGATACAATTTTTTTTTTCTCGATAATATTTTCAAATAATATACCAATAACCAACTATATTATGATGGTTAGAAGAAATACCAATAGCTATTAAATTTTAAATTCTTCTTCTTTCTTTCAATTTTATAGGTGGAGCACATGCCCATGTGCCCCATAACACGATCCGCTACTGCTTGTTATATCTATGACTAGTGATATTTTATTTAAAGTCGCACCTCCACCACCAGCACCCACGAGCCACCACTGTCTTTTATTGTCTGTAGAAAGTTTTGATTTTGAAGATGTATAATATGAAGCTATTGACGCAGATGGTGGTTTAGATTTATTTTTTCTGCACATATGTAAATGTAAATTAAGGTTGGTAGTATTACCATTAAACTTGATTGCATTGGAACAATTGCGACAAAATGCTTATTTTTTATTTAAAATAACTCCATTTAAATCAACTTTGAATCCGAAATACTTCCATACTTCACTCCTTGCACCAGGAAGAGGTACCAATTTCATCACGTTAACCATAATAATATTTGATATTTAAATTTTAATATAATACTAAGTTTTAAGAATCACGAATAAAACGAACAAACTCGAATAAAATAGTAAAAATACAACGATCGCGAAGAAATGGAAATAAATAAACGAACGCGAAGAAAATAACAAAAAAACAACGATCGCTAATAAATCAAATTAATTAACTAAGTCGAACGAACCCAAACATGACGAGAATTGTACAATACTGGACGGGACACACTACAACAGTGCATTTTTTAACTAGTTAACTAGGCGACACAAATGTCGCCCAGTGATTATACTCTTTCGACAATATTTTGAAAGATTGGGCGAAATAATGCGAAACAAACGTGAAATACTATAATCGTACTATGGTATTACATTAACTATTTTGAGAAAAAACATTTTTTGTCGCCCAGTGAAAATTCCTTATAAAATGCACTGCACTATAATATGACTTATAAAGTATAATAAATTAATAAATATTGGCGAATGGTAAAAATAGTATTTTACTATTTTATATCTATCATTTAATTCTATATAATATTAATGGACATTGCCGCTGATTTGACATTATAGAAGTCCATACATTTCACTTTTACTCTTCGCCTCTATCCTTGTCCTGAAGTTTTTCTTAGCAACATTCCAATCCAATCAACCCAATCAGTTAAGTACTTAGGCATAATTGTGTATCGCCGTCTCACCTGGGCACCCCATATCAAATCAAAAAAACGCCCTAAATTAACGTCTCCGCTCGCTTAAGACATTAATATCTAATATACACACTAAATTAAACACCAAACTACTCATATACAAATCTTTAATCCAGCCGATGTGAACTTATGGCCTCCAACTCTAGGGCAATGCAAAAAAGTTTAATATAAACAAAATATAAACCTTTCAAAATAAAATCGTACGCACAATCACTAATGCCCCACCATATGTGTCCAAGTCTACTTTACACACAGATTTAAAAATAAAAACTGTTCAACGCTGAAGCAGTTATATTCTATAAACGTTTTCATAACAGACTTTCCTCCCATCCCAATCCCTCATTTCAAATCTAGCCACTCGTACAATTCCTGGTAATCCCTCACGAAGACTTAAAAGAAACTGGTGCAGAGACTTACTTAATGAATAATATATAAAAAAAAAAAAAAAATTAAAAATAAAAACAAATTCAAAAAAGGTAGTGTTATCACTGGATGGCTTCTTCCCTCGCGTATTTCATGTTAAAAAAAAAAAAACAATTATCACATATTCTTATTGTGCCTACGGACACAGATTGTATATTTCTAGTTAAAAATAAAAAAAAAAGTTACCTAAAAGATTGATTTAAATGACTTGAAATACAAAGCAATATATATCATCAATTTTTTTTTGTTTTTGATAAAATATTTAAAATTTTAATTGGTATAATAGTAAAAAAAAAAAAACCACATTTTTTGAAGTGTAATATACCTAAGGCATATAGTTGCATATTTAGCCGTTTTTTCTTTGCATATTTGCATCATATTTGACACTTTTTAAATGGATATAAATCCGGGCTCTAGTAATAACTAATAAGTAATAAAATGATATTTGAAATACTGGCATTGAATTTATTGACGACGAATTTCAAGTGAAATATCGAAATACCGCTGGGCAGTAGCGGTAAAATTTGAGTATGTAGCGGTATCTGTAAAAACAGCGTCGCGATATTTTACCGCACCCGATTTATTGCTGCTGTGTGTATTCTTTAATTACAATACATGAGATACAATTTTACCGCTACCGCTGCAGTGTGTGCGGACCATGATTTGAAAGTGCGATTCCTTAGGACGCGTCTGTAGACGCGCGACTGACGCGGCGCGATTTGAATTTTTGCGACGCTACTGAGTAGGTATCATGTACAACTACAAAACGTAGTCGCAAGAGACGCGCGACAGGTATATAATCTACATTGTTATTGTAAGATATTTTAAAATTATATAGATAAATCAAATAAACGGTAAATAAACGGTATCAAATTAACAAGTCGACGATAATCGGTCGCGCGTCTAGTGCGTTTTGACCGCCTACCAAGCGGTCGTCAGTCACGCGATTAGAGACGCAATAGTCACGCGGCGGTGTTGGGAATAGGTTTAATTTAAAAATAGAAAAAGCAGTTAAAATTAGAGTCGCGCTGCGTCAGCCGCATCGGTCGCGCGTCTATAGACGAATTCGCGCTCTAAGGAATCGCACCTTAAGATAATTAGCTATCTTAAATCATGGTGCGGACCTTAATTCTTCGACCAGACCATACACGCACATACAGGTTTGTCGACATGTCGGTGGTTGTCGTGTTGATGCTCCGCGAGCGTCGACCAACCGGAACATATATGTATCAACCGTCTGTTTGACCGTGTTTGACGACAAATCGTTCCGTGTATGAGCCCCTTTAGTCTCCAGTTTTATACAAATTACCACCGTTACACCATATAACCATATCATATTAATTGTATAATATTAAATAATATTTTAATTATGGCTAATGAGCAAGAACGAAATGTTTTGTTTGTTCAACAAGTCGAAAAACATATCCGTCTTTATGACATAACGTCTCCAAGTTATACCAGAACGGATAAAAAAGAAAGAGTTGGGATGTGCTAAGGTATAGTTAAACAAACTTACGACTGTGATTAGTATGTTTTTAGTTTATTATACAGTTTAAATAATGAAATACATTTTAATATACTAATTTTTTATGGAAATGGATAAGTTATCTATCTTTCTATCTTCTATATGTATAAAAATGAATCCCTATTTCTCTTGGTCACGCCATCATTCGTGAACGGTTGGACCGATTTCGCCAATTCTTTTTTTGTTGTGTTTGTTATTGTCAAGAGTAGGTTCTTGTAAAAAAAAAAAATTAAGAAAATTGCGCGGAAAATTAGAAAATTTTAAATTACCGACCTATCCATAGGAAACAACTATTGAGATGGACTGAACGAGACTGAACATTATTAAAAACAATTGCTTCAATGAGAATACTGACTGCAACGCAGTTTAAATTCGATTGTAACCCAACAAGTTACACGATCTAGTTGCAGTTGCAGTTGCAAGTTGCTTTGGTGAGAACAATGCTTTAAGGGCTCTGTTTGTTTGCAGTTGATATCATGGTTATATATTGTATAATTTTTATTAAACATTTCAAATTTTTAATAAAGTTATTAAGTTGATTTTATTTTTTAATGCAATCATATGCCTGAAAATATTTACATAAATGACAGGACCTGATTTGATTATTTTCCTGATATAATACATAAAAAACAGTTTTGAATAAAATAGAAAAATTGGAACTACAATTAAATTATTCACTTTAATTATCTAGCAGGATGGCTTATAAACTTAATATAATTTTTATATTAATTAAATTTACTTTAATTATTGGTTTTACCAGATCAAAATACTTTCAACGTAATTTTGATACCATTTTGATACCTGTAGTATAAGTAAAATAGTTTAATATACATGATAATTTTAATGAGAACTATATTACTTATTATATCAGGTATATATTATAATGTTTTATGTAAAACGCATTATTTAACGAGACATTTTTAAATTAATAATCTATTAAGATGCAGGAATAATAAAAAAAATGTTTATCTTTAGATCAAATAAATTTGGATAACAATTCACATTTTTAGTTAAATAATTTTATGCATTAAAATACGAGTTTAATAATCATAACATAAGATAACATGTTTTAAGTATACATCACAAAAAAATCAAGTAACTCTACAAGAAATTCATTTAACAATTTAATAAAATTAAAATGTATTATTTTAGATGGCATCAGTAAAATATGATTACTTTTGTGTTTTAGAATTTCTTGCGAGACTTTATAAACGTAAATATAAATGATAATAAAACAAAATAAAAAATATATATTTATATATAATTATGTGTTGGGATATTTGATAGATAAACAGTCAAGAAAAAATATGTAGTTTAATTTAACAAAGAATAATACACATTTAAAAGGGTAAAATATGATTACACTATGGAATAAATATCTTGTTTAATGTTCCATAACTCTAAACACCAATTCCAAAATTACCGACGACTGTTGTGCTTTAATTGCTATTGCATTCACTACTGGAACAAGATGTTCATCCAAACTTTGCATATATATTGGAGGAAGTTTACTTTCTCCGCTTCCAGCTTCATATCCAACCTATAATATTTAACTGTTAAAACCAAATTAAAATTAAAAATAAAAAATAAATTACCGAATCTGGATTAATAATAATACGTAAAGCAAGTGGAGTCAATGAAGCTGCAGATAATAAATCTAAAAGTGGTACTAAAGCAGTACATGTTGCCTTGGATATAGATTCAGCAGTTCTACTAGTATCCAGAGGTTCATCAACGCGATCTGATGTTTCTTCACACTAAATTAATAAAAATTAAATAAATTAATAGTAATTATTATTGGTTCAAGAGCTTAAAAATAAATGATCCATTTTTTACAAAATTAGTTAACTATGAAATCAAATTCTAAAATATAGGAGATTCATAAAATCTTAAAATACATTTATGTAAAATTACAAATATATCAACTCTATCTGATAGTTACATCATATTATGTAATAATGATATTTGTACTATATGTATTATATAATGTTACATACAAATTTTTCCATTAATAAGACTGAAATCACAAAATAATGGTTGGCTGAATAATACCAGTATATATCATACCATTGAGAAGCAACGGAAAAAATAATGCAATACAAAAAGATCTTATAACTACGAACTTATCGAATAACCATATCTTGAGCTTACAGAATTTAACCTTCCAAGGAGAGAGTGGTTAAGACTCAATTGCTTTTTTTGTTGGTAGGAAGGTCCAATAATTACCTAATGAAAAAATAGAACCTGATAGATATATAATTATTTTGAGTCTGATAAAATAATCGAAATAATCTAGAGAATGAAACATTTCGGTAATGAATGTTCACACACTATTTACCAGGAGGTATATAAAGTCTACAAGCAAGGGGACGCTACCCGATGGCTGACCGAATTAGAAAAAGAAGTGTGATCCTTATTCTTATTAAATTTACAATATTTATCTATTTATTATTAGTTAAAATAAAAATATTTTTATCGCCTAAATTTCTAGTTTATGTTTATGTTTATGTTTATTAAATGTATTGTTACTACTTGGATAAAACCATATGAATAAATAAAAAAAAATTGGTAATGATGAAATTATCATTTTGTAAAGATATTGCCATTTAACTTAAAAACAATTTAGTTAAATTTAAAAGTAAGAAAATAGAAAATAGACTCAGTGGCGAAACTTCAATATAATTGGAGAAATTTTTTTTGGTAAAAAACTTTGAATATATATCGAATAACTAAAGTTAATAAATGAAAATCCGTTTAAAAGAAACAATTTATTTGGTTATTTTCAAAACTTACATATTATATATTATTATATATTATATTATATATTATATATTATATTATATATCTTACATATTTTGATAAACATACTTGTATAACAAAAACTTCTGTCCATCTAATAAAACGTCTTTTCCCTGAATAGTCGATTCCGTTATGCACTCTAATAGAGTATACACCATCTAATGGCTTGCCATCAATACAACTTTTAACTCTTAAAAATAAAAATAAAATTTAACAACTTGGTAAAAAAAAGAAAATTGTATTTTATTCTTACCCAATGTTAAAATTAACATCATCTTCTGTCCAATGGAATATTACTGTTTGCTCATCATTAGTTCCACATAATAATTCAAAATCTTTCATTGTACGAAGAGCATCACGCAATAATACCATTTTTTGTGATGACATTTCAACCATAACTCCGTCTTCTACTATACGCCATCTTGTACCAGCCTCATCTTCAACATCTCCATTAAGGGCAATAAAACTTGCACCCGTAACTAATACATACATTTGTCAATATAATATATTAAATAAAAAATGAAAAATAACTTACTTTGCCTCGGTTTATTGTGTATATTAATGGCTTGGGTGTTGTAATTTCCATCATCTTTGGTTGACTGAACACATACTAAATGTGAATCAGCAATTGCACTGAAATTAGCACCAAATGCTAAGAGACCTCGGTTTGATGCCAGTACTAATCTTGAAACCTAAAAAATTTACATATTTAAATAGTTATACAACAATAATATGGAATCATTTTTTAAACTTTTACTTGATCATATCTGTTTCGAGGTAATAGCACCATGATTTGTTTTTCATCCATATGTATATAGCAGCCTTTAACAGTTGGTAGGCCATATGAATACTGTCTAAAATCCTTTTAAAAATAAATTTAAATAATTTTACCACTAATCTTATCAATTGTTATAATTTATCTGAATTTATAAAAATTATTAAAAACTAATGAGAGAAAAATTTATAAATAACATACTACTAAAAGTTTAATGACAGTCTGACCAATTTCTGTGTATAAAGATGATCGATTTCTAATGGACACTAACATACAAGGATAATATCGATATTCTGCTCCTAGTCGTAACATCAAACGAATAGGGAACATTTTGGCCCAAGGTGTTTCATATCTGAAAAAAATTATAAATGGTTAAAAGACTTCATAATTTCTGAAATTGATTTGAACTAATATCTAATACAAAACTTAAAATAACTTACTGATGAACAAGTAAAGCAAACAAATATGGGGGTGATGGTAAACGTAATTTTTGCATACACTGATATGTTTGTCTTACAAATAAAAATCCTCCATGATTGTTGGAATCCAATAAAGTAGAATTAACTGGCGCCGTGAATGACATGTCACTTACAGTTACGCCTAAATGAATATGAATATTTCTTACTGAATAATAAATTTGTTGTAATAATCCTATATAAATTTAATACAAACCTATTGAAGCATTTTTATATAGATTATTTATGAATAAAAATATATCACGGGGTGGATGTTTTTCATTTGGAAGCGTTTCCAATAATATTACTACTTCATCTTGACCAACACATGCAAGGCCTTCAGTACTCATACACCAAGTTTCTCGTTTAACACAACAATCCACTGATGGAAGTACAATATTATATTATAAATTCAACCAAAAACAAATGTAAAAGAAAATATACTTACAATAAACTTTCTTAACATAAAGAAATAAATTTGGGTTGATAGCAAACATAGTTTCAGCATCATTTAAGGCTATTGGGCGTTCAGTATCATCAAATATCAATTCACCTTGATCTTTCTTAGCTGCAGGCGGTAAACCAATATTAGGTATGTAACTTTGTGTTTGAGAATTTAGTGGCCTCCTATTAGCAGAAATAACATCTGAAAAATTAACTTTTTGATTATTATAATTACATAATAAGTAAATATTTTAATATTAATATATCATTATATTACTTATAAATCAGAATGAAATATTAGTAATATAAATTCACATATTATATTATCCAGCAGAGTTTATATTCCACTAGATTGACAGTTATAGTACAGATTAACTTTGTACAAAAATAGTGATCAGATAAGGGATAAAATAAAAAGTAATCAAAAGCTAATCAATCTAGATAGTCTTTAATAAAATTGAATTATTTTCAGTAATAGCCAATGGTCATTATTAAAAAAAAAAGAAAAAATTAAAAATATTTTTTACAAAATTATATAATTAAAAATAAAAAGTTAGTTTATATATTAAATTAATTTATTTTTTTTTTTTTTTTTTTTGTCAAAGTTATCTGTTCAATATGATTTAGTTAGACTTACTGTTAACAGTAGGACTGAGCTTCTTTAAAGATCGAGATTGTCGTCGTATTGGTAAAATCCTTTCAGATGATCCATCTAGTTCAGTTAAATCTCCACCAGGTCGAATACCATCACTAAACATTACTTGTTTAGGGATATCTGATTTCACACGTCCTAAAATCAGTATTTAAGTTACTAAAATAAACTGAAAAATATATAAATATATATTACTAAAATTAACTATATTTTAAATAATGTGATGATATGAGTATTTCTGTTCACAAAAAATATAGTAAAATAAGGCAATTAGAAATTAAATAGATTACATTTATAATATATTTATATTTATAACATCTAAGTTAAGGCCATAATAATAATGCCATATTGCATTTTTAATGAATAAAATCCTTCAACTGTAAATGAATGTTTAAATGAAAACAAAATGTACACTTAGAAAGTTAGTTATTACGCGTATAATATATTATATTATGGAGTAATGGAGTAAATAGCAATGTGGAAAAAATTTGTATAAATAGTATACAGTAGAAAGTATAAGCAGGGTTGGGATTTTTTTTTAATTTCTCCATTCACATTTCTGTTCTATACAGCTTAATTTAAGAAAATTGAATAATTTTAGAAATATTTAATACTTCAGGTTCAAGTTAAAAAAAATATAACTAATGTAGGCAGGGTATTTGACTCTCATATTGCTCCGTGTAAGCCACTGATTAAATTTAATTGATTATCAATAAATCTAACCATATTACATTTATTGAATGTATACAAAAATAAATTTGAATTAAGAGTGCATTGAAATATACCTTCTCTTTTGAGTACGCTTACAGGAACTAAAACGGATGGCACAGGTTGATTTTTTGAATCAACTACTTGTTGTAATGGTGGAACTGTTGAACAATACTCCATAGGGTTATTTGGATTTGGATGTTTAATTGTGGCCACTTTTTGTTCAACTTGAGATGCTAGAAAAAAAGTATGTTTCAGATACATTTTTCCAAAATGTATTTAATAAAAAATACCTTACCCCTAGCAAGTGTATTAAAACATTGCTGGCATACTCGTCCCTCATTATTGTTCATATATGACAGACGAGCTCGTAAATTACAACACTTTGAACATAAAACCTAAAATAATAGTTGATTAAATCATATTCTGAATATTTAAATTGTTATGAAAAATACTTCTCCACAAGCTCTACAATGATGTCTGCGTTTAACAACAGTAAACTTTAATTGACATCGCATACAGCTTTTTGCTGCTTCATCTGGTACCCAATACGGTTGTAACTTGCCAAGTCGACGTTCAATCAGTGATAATACACAATCTGAGTCTAATATTTAAAGAGTTATATAGTTAAATAAAATATAACATTATACATGTTTATTATACCTGTACTTAAAGTAGATGTTAATTCAGTTTCACAATTTGTTGTTCCATTTAAATCAAGTGTACTAGGTCGTTGTATGCGACTTTCCTCTACATTTTCTACAGTACTATTAATCACTTCAGATGGCAAGGAACAAGTACTTTGGGAATCTAATGAATCACTTACTGTATTATTACTCAATTGATTATCATCTTTTAATAATATAGTTTCAGTTGATTCAATACTGCATAATGAGTCTGTTGGATCTTTTTCTGGAGGAAATATAGTTTCAATTAGTGGTTCTGACAAATTTTCATTATTTTCTATTATAACTTCATTATTAGAGTTTGTTTCTAGCAATTCTTCTGTTAAATGGTTATCAGTTTGAATGGGTTCATCACATTGAGATTCTAATTCTAAAGTTGAATTAGGAACAATGGGTAAATCTGGAATGTCACTGTACTCATGTAAATTATTTTGAGATTTTTTTATTGTAATTTCACACTCATCAACAATATCTACATTTTTTTCTTTCATTTCATTTTCTAATTGTTCATACATTTTATTTTCCTCAAAACTAACATTTAAATTTGATGAGTCCTCAAGTATTTCTTCAAGTATTGCTTTTTCTTCATCAGTCAATGGTAATTGTTCATTTATGTTTTCTTGAGGTTCATCATGATTATTAATTGATAGCAAATCGTTGGAAGTTTCAGATGATAATGTATCTTTTGTTTCTGACAAGCTATCATCACATATTAATGGTTTTTCAGCAATTAGTTCATCAGAAAATTCAGAGTGAGGTGTCATAACATCAGCTGAACTACTATCATTATAATTCACTGACAATAAGTCTTCTGGTTCTTCATATTCTCTAAGACATTTATAAAGTTCAACATCTGAACAGTCAGCATTTGTGCTATCTATATCATAAATTTCTGATGTATTTAATGACTGTAATTCACTAGATATAGTACAGTCATCTTTTGATGAATCAGGTGAGGTAATCAATACAGGACAAGATGCAACATCTGGTAACCTTTGGACATTATCAATTGAATGGTTTTTGTCACTTTCTTTAGCTGAATCATATGATTCTAATAAATCTGGTCTTAAGTCTTTTAAAATGTCTTCATCATCATAAGGGTCTGGTGGTACATTTGAATTAAATGGTTTGTATTGGTATTCATCAATTATGTCTAAAATATTATTGACTGTATTTTCATTTGAAGTAAAATCAATATCCAAGAGTGGTGCAACTTCTTCTGGTTCGATAGATTTAATAAACCCATTTTGTAAAAAATCAGAATTAGCCGACGAGGTAGTTGGCTCTACACCAAAATCAGCATCAGCTAAATTGATGGGTTCAAATGCAGGGCGACGATAACTAGCAGCTGGTAACATTTTTCCAGAAATGGGGACTTGTGCCTAAAATATAAAATTATAAATCAATGTTTGAAATTATTAAATTAGTTAAGTACATACTTGTGCTTCCAATACAATATTAGATTGCCCATTTGAAATAGATGCTTGGAGTTGTTCCCTTTCTACATAAAAATAAACATTAAATTGTTTAGGAAAGATCAAAAGAATAAAGAAAATGCATAACGTAAATAGGAAATTACCTTCATTAAACTCAAACTCATCGAGTACTTTATCCAAATCAACAGCAAACTTTTCCATTTTATAGATAATTGTTCGTGATGAACGAATTAAAATTTCACATTAAAATGTTTATCCCATCATTTATTTTAATCTACACAATGAATAAAAAATTTAAAAAAAAAAACAAAAAAATTAAAAATGTAGGCAAGTATAGAAATATTACTTACTGAATAACAACACTTAACTACAAAATTAACATAAAAACCGAGATAATACTAGGAATATCTTTAAAATCTTACAGGCATAATTATGTTAAATCTACGTAGTTAAGAGCACAAACTACTGCACCAATAAACAATAACAGCAATAATAAAATTTTTTTATTCATACAATTCTTAACACTAACTTATCGCGACCATAATATTACATTTATCATGCAAATAATCATTGATAACATATGATATCCAATACGACAAATAAGTGTATAGATAACAGCAACAAGGTTGTATCATTGATTAAAAATTAAATTGATTATAATCATGGATATAGATATTAAGATTTAGTATCTATAGCACGGTTTTAGAAGATTCTATGACTAAGATCCCAAGATCGTGGTTGCATGTATTATGCCCATGTAATATGTAAACCTAATAATTAAGATATTAGAGCCCTCACTTCTTCACAGCATGCCTTCTCACAAATTGTTGTAAAATGAGTAATCTAATACCTCAAATAAAAAACTAATTTCAACTAGAAAAGTAATAATAATAATATTTTATTACCCATACATTACCTATACCATAACAATATTATCGTTTACGATTTTTTATTGTTGCAAACTAAAATTTGCAAGATATTTCTTTAAATTTTATGATTCAAAGTGGTGAAGGCTCCTAATAAGATGGATGAATTGGATTTTCGGAGATTTTAATTTGTAGTTATCATTTAAATTTATTTGAATCATGTGTATATATGAAAACATTTTTAATTCAAATTATTTTAAGTGTACTATAATTTGTTTAAGACAAGATGTCTGTTACATTTATAGAATTTCGTAAAACTAAAAAGATAAACAATCATTGTAGTATTAAAATTAGTAAATAAAGTGAAACTTATAAAATTTGTTTTCCTTAATATATATCAATTATTTATTAAATTTGATTATTTGAATGTAAATAACGTATATAGTAAATCGAACGGCTATTGGTACCTAAAATAACCAATTTTTTATTTAAGTTAGATAGATATAAAGATAAGATAGATATTATACCCTTTAAGTAAACTTTAATAAAATATTGGTTATTTTATTATTATTTAATAATATTAAATAATAATAATAATAATAATAGATAGATATTATACCCTTTAAGTAAACTTTAATAAAATATTGGTTATTTTATTATTATTATTATTATTATTTAATATTAGCTTCGGAAAGATTCACCACGGATGCTCTTAAATTAGGTAACTAATTTATGTAATAATACTAGCTTAAGTACCCGGCTTTGCACGGAACATTCTTGGCCAGGACATAGGTACCTATTAATGGATTATTACATTACGATTAAAGCCAAGTTTGATGCAACTGTTGGTTATAAAACAATTAAAACGAAAATTCAAACGAATCGGTATGGTAATTTTAGTTGTACACCGAATTACCTCTGAATTACGGTCTTTACCGATTCCATTATTTTTTAAAATTCTTATTGCACGTTTTGATTATTGGAGAGACAACCATGTCAAATTTCAAATTAATTTAGTTTTGAAATATAGCGATAATCCATGCGTGAGTGATACCCAACATTGCAAGTTAAGAAAATTGTAAGTGTTTAACTCTATTTGAGTGTTATTCACCGTGTTTTATTAAGTATAAATCACCCGAAATAACGGTTGAAATAATAATTTGTTATTTATTATAATAGGTAAATATTAAATATAGCAATGTCTATCACGCCTTGTTGTGCCGTTTACTAAATTTAAACATAGGTACTAGAGCTCTTAAACACGTGTCACGGAATTCACGTTTACACGTGAAATACATGTTTATCCAAAATATATATCCATTTTTACAATGGTAAAATTAGTAATTTTATGTTATACACTTGAAGTTTTAATAAAATATTAATAGTACAGTATTAAGTTAAGGATATACGTTTTTATTTTGGATTTTACACGTGACACATGACACGTGAATTCCGTGAATTCACGTGTATTAAGAGCTCTAATAGGTACATACACTAATATCTAGGGAACGGATTTATATGTAATAAAAATATAGAAATATGTACATATATATGTAAGTATAATTTATAAAATATGTGCTAAAAACATCCAAATATGTGGGGGAAAAAAAAATGATTTGTTGCATTGAATTATTACAATATCTTTTAAATTATCAAATGTTAAATGTCGCCGATTAGGTATCAAAATATTTTTAAAACGGCTAAATTAGGCTAGGTTCACCTGGACGCGCGTACACGCGCGTCGGTTGATCGCACGTATTTAGATATACGGGTCTCAAAATCATCGTTCACATGGTGCGCGATCAACGCGCGTGACACCGCGGATTGAAATATCATGTATTATTATCGGACCGTTCAGTTGACAAGCGCGTTTCGATGCGAACGATCGAATTTTCATCTATAGTTTTTGAAAACAAGTGTTTTTTTAAATATAAAAATTGAAATAGATATGTTAATTAATGAAATAGAAAAAAGGCCTGCCATCTGGGACATTTTGATCAGCTTCTAAGGAGTCTTTAATTATCTCCAATAGATCATCAAATGATTTAATGGACGTTCTAAAGTAATTGAAAAATTGTTCATGTAACATTAAATATAATGTAATAATAATCTAAGACTAAAAGAAAACCTTGTTTTCAAAATAGGATGGTCCCAATAATTCCTTTCCCTCATTTGTCTGCACCTTCTCATACTTCGGTGGACGGCCAATAAACACACAGCATCTATCACATTCATTCTTGATGACAATTTGAACTATACTAAGTAATATTGTTTTTGACTAGAACATTCCCGTACAACGCAGCCATCTGAACAGTTATACGCGAGTCCATGTAAACCTAGCCTTATCGTTTCACATCAACCGATGTATTAAAAGTATATTTCAAGCGCCTACTATCAGAAAGCGATAATTCCAAATTTTTAGAAGGGCATCTGCCACTAATTATGTCATTGATTGTTTTAAAATCAATATACCCTGGAATTTTTTTCTGTAACAGCATGAATATTCTTAGAATAGAAAATTAGATAGAAAATAATATCGATAAATTAGCAATTAACAAACTAGGCCAATTTGATAATTTAAAATTGAACACATTCAGAGCATTATTATGAAATATATTCCGTAACTCAAACATTGAAATAATATGTAACATAACGAATGTACCGAAGAAGATAAATAAGTAATTTTAGATCAGTTTTATAATTCTTAACTAGCGGGATATCTAGATATTAATAAAACAATAAAAATAATTAAACAACAATTTACCTGGTAAAATGTAAAAAATAATGTTAAAATTGATGTCAAAAGAATAAAATAACAAATAAGAAGGTAAAAATGCCTACCGTAATTACTTCAACTACGAAACATTCATTTGAAAAAATATTTTTAGACATTATGGGATAATAATTGTATATTAACGATTCAAGATGATTTAACTAAATTTTTTTTAGGGGTACGTATCGTTAATTATTTAGCTAATATAGTTAGTACACTTTGTGTATATACATAGAGTTCCAGAAATAATACTTACAGATAAATCGCAAAATTTTTTAAGTAAAATATTTACAGAAATTTGTAAACTATTGAAAATGAAAATGAATAAAATAAATACCAGTCCTTTTTATTCATAAACAAACGGGAGTTTAGAAAGAAGTCATAGAACTTTAACAGAATACCTTAAAACATTGTGTAGATAAAAAACTAAACAATTGTGATCACTTATTACCATACGCTTTCTTTGTATATACTTTGTATATATTTCTTTGTATATTGGTAATTCGATAATACATTAATCAATCATATGAATTATTATATGGAAGAACTTTAACAATATCATCAAAATTACAATGGGAACCAGAACCCAGATATATTTATAACGATTATTTATATGACTTATATTAAGACAGAATTTACGAGTGTTATATTAAATGACAGAATTAAATGAGAGAGAGATTAATAAAAAGTATAAAATAAAGAGGAATATGATTTAAAACAGTGGTTCCCAACCTTATTTATTCTTCGCCCCCTTTGTAGATTTTCAAAAATCTCATGCCCCCCCCACCTATAAATTGAAAAAATTATAATTTTTTTGTTTACTTTACATTTTACAAATAAACTATATAATATTCAGAAAGACTACTTTTTTATTGATGATAGTAATTATAAAATATAAATAATTGTAAATAATATAGTATTATAATGGAATTATAAATTGACGTGAGTAATTATTATAATAAATTAGTAAAAAATATAAATAATATAATGTATAATAAAATTAACATTTAATGTTAAGGCTGACAACACTTTTCTTTGGACAATTTTTTAAAGTTCGGCTCGGTGTTTGATAAAGAACACCTCAAGTCAGACTCGACATCCAAGCGATTTCTATGTTTGGTTTTTATAATGGCCAAGCTGGTGAATCCAGATTCACATAAATAAGTCGATGAAAATTGTACAAGGACTTATAAAGCTTCATTTGAAATTTTCGGATAAATGGGTTGGTATTTTACCCAAAACTCTTCCAAAGAGCTGCAACTGTTAATTAAAATCAATTTTTGCGCGTGAATCATTCTTCAGCTCGATTGCCTGTTCTTGAAATGTATCCGGCAATGTGTCTACGTTAGCACTGAATGGACAACTTATTAGCTTATATTTCCAACTTTCGTTAAAAAAATTCGGAAAATATCGCATGAATTCATCAGTCAAACAGTCAAGATGTTCAATCACTATACTTTTCAATCCAACAAGACAAATATATTCTTCCTCATCAGAGATAAGTTCGTTCAATCGATGGAAACACGAAAAATTAGGAGTCTCTTTGTTTACTCGGCGTTTCCATAGCTGTATCTTTTCTAGAAATGAGTTTATAGAATTTTTGGTGGTTATAATATTCGTATTCTTCCCTTGTAATTTGAGATTTAGGTTATTAATAGTTTCAAAAATATCTACTAGGTACGCAAAGTAGAATGTTAATTTTTCATTGGTAAAACTCTCACGAATATTGTCTTTTCCTAATTGTAAAAGCATAATTTCCACTTCAGATTTTAATTTGTACAAACGTTCAAACATATTCCATTTTGATAACCAACGAACCTCTGTATGGAATAATAAAACAGAATGTTCCGCGGATAGCTCTGAACAAAGAATCTTAAAAAGACGCGTGTTAAGTGCACTGCTTTTGATGGTGTTAACAACTTTTATACATACTTCAAGTACATTTTTAAGTTCAGATGGCAGCGTTTTTTGCAGCTAAAGCTTGTCGGTGTATTACATAATAAGAACCGATTATTGACGGGTTTTTATTTTTTGCTAGGCTTACAAAACCCGATCTTAACCCTGGCATTGCAGGAGCACCATCTGTATAGACACCTACAACATTTTTCCAAGACAAACCATTCTGGTCAAAAAATATGTCAATGGCAGACCAAACGTCGCTGCCTTTTGAGGTGGAATTTAAAGCCTGGGAAAATAGAAGTTCTTCTGCGATGGACTGTTCATTTATAAAACGGCAGTAAACTAATAGCTGGGAACAATTGGCCACATCAGTTGATTCATCACATTTGATTGCAAAGAATACGGAATGTTTTAATTTATGAATCAACTGATTTTTAATGTCCAAAGCTAATTCATATATACGTCATTTCACTGTATTATCTGAAAGAGATATTTGAGCTATTTTCCTTTTGCTTTCTTCACCAAGTACTATTTCAATAGCTTTAAGTATGCTAGGTTTAATTAATGTTTCACCTAAGGTATGGGGTTTCTTTTGCTGAGCCACCATGAAGGCGATGTGATAAAGCTTCAAAATTTTTTTCATTATTCTGTTGAAACTCTCCGGTATGGTCAATTTTCATTTGGCTTAAAGAATTTTTTTTAGTAACAAAAAACTCTTTAGGTTTTCCTTTTAGCATCGGATGAGCTGTGGTTAAATGTCGTTCTAGTCGACTAGGTCGGAGGGCATCGTTACTTAATACAACGTGACAAATAACACACTGAGGCTTTTGGACACCATCTTTTTCAACAAACGTAAAACCAAATTTGACATAATCATCGATATACGTTCTTATTTTCGGAAGAGCCATTACTTTGATATATGTGCACTCACGACGATTACGTACTACGACACTGACGTGCACTGAGCAACTGTAAAATAAAACTAAATCGCGTCTAAACTGATCTAATAGTTTTTTCTCCTGGGTTTCTCTTATCGTACTGATTAATTTACGGACGATGTGGCATGGTGCACTATGGCTAAACACTTGTAATCTTTATCGATTACTTTATCGACTTTAACGACCCTATATTCTATAATCTATAACGATAACCAGTCTTTATTAATTTTTCATTTTTTCTCTTCATTTTAAATATAATAAAATTTGATAAATAAAAATTTACTTCGTGATGACTGCTTGCGCCTCCCCAGCGATGTGTATACGCCCCCTAGGTTGGGAATCACTGATTTAAAAGAAAACGCAACAAATATAAATGAGAAAGATTTATTACTGTTGAGAAATTATACATCTAAAATTAAATTACATCCATTATGGTTTGACTATTTGAGATAATAAAAATAATTAACAATGAAAATATTCTAATTCAAAGTGGTTAAGTGTTCATAAAAATAATTTTATTTTATTGTAATATAATTACACTACACAGATTAATACAAAATGAACAATTATATTTTTATATACACAGATAAACAGAAGAAATATTATAAATAATTTAATAGGAAACAGAAGTATGCATAAAGCAAAATTATTCTTTAGTCAATTATTAATAAACATAAAAGAAGAAATCAATTTAGATAATTTTTTTTTAATTTTCATTAAAAGCGCACCAAGTAAATACAAATGAAAATATTAAAGACAAATATACTCAAATCGAGCTAAAAAAATATCAAAGACCACTTAAGTAAACATGTAAAGGAGCACATAAACCTCAGGGGAGAATGTCTATCCATAGGAGTAGTAATATTATCGAATTATGAGGAGTACCCAAAGACACAGATACTATTCAACTAGATCAAATTTAATTTTTTTTTTTAAAGAAAAGTTTTACTAAAGGGGATATGACAGGATATTTTTCAATAGAAGGTAACTTTATAAACTTATTACGCTATTGTGTTTATAGATTCGTGTTAACTCATATGATTAATTGAATTATGAATAAATGAAATATAAATAAATAAATAAATAATAAATAAATGAATGAGTTATAATAAATTCAAACTTATGGTGAAGATGTTTAACATTTTTGATGAAATCATTAAAGAAGTTAGTACTACAGATAAAGTTAAAGAATGTGCTAGACCAGTAATAGAAGACTCAATTTGGATTTTAAAAGCCAAATAAATGGCTTTTACATTGGAAAAAACCGTGTGATAACAATAATGATGATCATCCAGAAACTATAGAAAAAGTATTAGACTTAGCCAAAAATTAACTACTTTTGAAAACATACAAAATGGTGATGAGTGAGTATGTAATGCCTGATGTGATACAGTTAAAATGTGAATTAGACAAAAAACAAAAAAAATTTACCTACTGTAAAGAATGATTTATTTGCATTTTTGTATGTACATATGTCTAGAAAATCCCCAATAAAGCAGCATAACATATTATTGAATTATTATCATCTGATAGTGATTTGCTTACTTAAATTTTACATGAGAAAAAAAAAAATCGAAACAATAGCCAGGCATTGAAAATGGAGTAGGAGAATAAGATTCTTGAAACAGAGTAAATCAGCTAGTTTATAATAATTGTTTATTTATAAAAGCCATATTATAAATATAATTCGTATTTGTACATTTTTTATTCGTACAAAGATAACAGAGATTTCCTCAAGAACCATACGTTTTAGGTGCTGATAAAATAACAACATAATTTACTTAAATTTTTTCCACTAACGTCTTCCTTACTTGCTTGAACCATTGCTGTACGATAATGAGAATGAATTGCGAACTACAATTATACCCAGGAATTGCCTATATAATGCGCCGTCATACACATTAATATTTCTATGAAGCAATGGTCATACTGTCGTCTTGTGTCTCGTTTTCCGTCTTACTCGTGATAATTCAATCTAAAAAATAGGAAATACTAACGGTGTATTAATCATCAGCTTCAAAAGGCCAAGCTTTGTCGTTGTAGCCATTTATGTCTGTCACATGCCAAAGTAAAACTCATCCAACGGAATATTTTTTTTTTAATAAGGATTTACGCGTTCTTCTTTTAAATCTTTTAGCTTTTATTTTCCCTTTCATGACGATGGAAATTAACTTATTTTGTCTTAGTAGATGTCTAATTAGTTTTATATGTATATTTTTCATTTTTTTTGTCCACCAATGTTCTTCTCTCATTAACCTCGTCCAACACTACTTCATTCGTCGTATGTTCTGTCCTACTTTTTCTTGTTATTCTTCTCTATATCCATATTTTTACTGACTCCAGTCTATCTTTTTCATATTTTATTATCGTCTATGTTTTACTACCATATGATATAGTAATTAGTGATCGGCATATCTGGATTTCATGGATTATCGGAATCATGCGAATTATTCAATTCAATTTTTTCTGTTCAATTACAAATACTATTCCTACAATATGATAAATCTCCACATGATGTTTTTTTAATACTTAAAGATTATTTTTATTTGATAATTGTAAGAACAAAGACGAAGACGAGAGGAAGACCTAGAACAAATTATTTCCATGATATAAAAGAGAAGATTCTGCCAACAACTTAAGGAAACAGCAAAAGACAGATACACATGATTAACTAGACAAGGCGTTACCTTTAGAACATGATGATAATGAATATTAAGAAAACTTTTCCGTGTAAATAATTACATCAATAACAATTATTATTGTATCATTCTTATATTATATTGTAGTATAACTACAACTAATCTTCAGAAAATTTAATTCAATAACCATTCAAAGGTTATGTAGTTAAGATAAGGTAATTGGGTGTTCAATCATGATATCACTGTAAGCCATAAAGGTATAAAATGAACCCAACAATTTAATGTATTGTAATTTTGGTAATTAATAACACATTATAAAAATTGTTGAAATCATAAGTAAATTTAAATTCATAAAATATAATATTAATTTGTTGTTACAATAAAATAAAATAATTTATTTTACTAGAAATTAAAAATAATTATAAGTTATATAAAAAAGCAAATTCATAAACCTGGATAATCCGAATACTTTGGCAATTCCGGATAAAAATTTGATTTAAATCCGGATTTGAATATCCAGATATCCAGATAATTCAGATATTCGGATTTCATGCTCATCACCTAATAATAACAACAAATGCATACATTAATGAATTTCTTTCTTGAAACTGTAATCAGATGTTTATTCGCAGGAAGTGTCCGTTTTTCTCAAAAACTTGTTTTGCTAGTGTAATTCATCTTTTTATTTTTATTGTAGTTTAATTGTTTTGTTATCTATCTTCCTGAATAATAAAACTTGTTTACTTGTTATAATATTATTAACTCATTGTTGAGCGTTATACTTGCATTCATTATTACTTTATTTATAACAATAACTTTTGTTTTTTTGAAATTAAATTTTTATTTGATCTTGTCTTGAGATGAGTGAAGTATATGAAACATCGAACTTAATTCCTTCTCGCTGTTAGCTAGAAGAGATACGTCATCAGCAAAACAAATGAAATAAAACTGATGCCCATTTATAATTCACCGAAAAAAAAAAATCGTTTTCAGTAAAACTACATCAACTCGTGATTACATTTTGGTCTGTAGAAGTTTCTTATAAGCTTAACATCTACGAATACATATAATTTCTGTGGCTAAATTTACTGTAGTTAAAATGCATGAATGCGATTAATATATTTGTATAAGTGAAACTTCGGTCATAATCAATCAGTCTGTAGATGGTTATGAAGTTAGCCCCCCCCCCCACTTTGACCGATTCTCTTCAGACTACCGCCAATATTTAGCAAATTAATTGCAAAAAATTGCAAATTCATTTTTTAGAATTTGCAAATCAAGTGCAAAGTCACAAATTAAAAAATAGGTTTGGGGGGCT